AGTCAGCAGAAGCACTGTCAGTAGATTGATCGTTGGATACCTACCTCCCAGTGCAGTTGTCTCTTCGGCTTTTCTTCTCCTATTCACTATCATTTCAGGAAGTCCCTGCCACTCACTAGCTCATGTTGCTGGATGCTCGGATATATCATAATGTGTTGGACAATTTGACAAAATAGCAACGTTGAAACGGTAAAACGGGAAAGCACGATGGTCTACGCCCCAGGCCCATCCCAACCACCCTACCGGGGCCTGTAAATACCTTGGATATCTGTTTATTCGCAGTTAGTTAAATTTCCGTAAACAAGAACAAATACTCACTTCTGCAGATTACCCCCAAGGCATAAACAAGATTTTCCGAACAGCACGGCGTTGCTCTGATATCCATACTCATCGTTGATCTTTTGTTGATATTTTATGGAAATCCCAGGCCCGTCCCAACCTACCCTACCGAGGCCTGTTGCCGAGTATCTTGGATATCTGTATACGGTCAGCATAACAACAAGCATGAACGATTCGATGTATACCTCAACGTGGATTCCCCTAAGGCACAATCAAGATTTTCCGAGCAATTAGGTTGTCCGGGCAAATTCTCGGTTTTCCTAAGGTCCATACTCGACATTGATCATTTTTATGTCGTCGGTATGGAGTATCTCAAACCCAAATCCATCCCAACCTCCCTACCAGGGCCCACTAAGTTCCGTAGGTCTATATATAGTCAGCAACCACATCGATAAAAGCCCATATTCTCAAATGATCAAATGGTTTGAAGGCACCTCTCGGTGATCTTCCTCCAAACCCATCCCTTCCACACTCGTACAACCCTCCAAACCCACCACGGCGAGATGCCCAAGCAGCAGCGTACTTGCCTCCCTATCAGAGCCAAGCCCTATCATGCCAAGTCCCTAAAGTATACAAAAAAGGGGGGGGGATTGGAACTTTAAGGAAATAGGCAAATGGGATGAAAGAAGGAAAGAGAGAACGAAGAGACGGCACTCAGCCGCAAGTGCCTGAGAGCCTGGAGGCAGCAACGACAGAAACAAAGCGACAAGGCACAAAAATTGATGTCGTCAAAACGAGTCAAGACGGAACGAAGAAACTTGGGGACCCGGGGGTAACAGCAGCAGCAAACAAAGCCATAAAGCACAGAAAACGATTCTCTCCCAGAATGAGTCAGAAAAACTCGAGGCGAAGGAAAGAACGAACAAAAACTGCAAACTAAAGGAGGTGGAACTCCTGTTCTCTATAACAAGATATTAAGATAAATGGCAAGTTCGATGGAACGAACGAGAACGAAGAAGCCGCTCTCGACGAAGTGAGTACGAGAAGGAAGTTGCTAAGCAATATAGAAGTATCGGAAGTATCAGAAGCATCAGAAGAAGCTAAAGATGGAAATAACGATAAACTCGACCTCAAATCGATGAAGTCGATGGAAAGAGCGATGGAGGACGATGAAAAGGATGGAAGCTACTGGGGATGAGAGAGTTGGAAGGAGGAGAGTTGAGGAAGGGAAAGAAGAGAAGACGGTCGGCACCATAAGGAAGACCTGTAGGCAGAAGCAAGCCCAGGTCTTTGCCCTAGGAACCCGGGTGCCTAATAAGAGACAAGAAGAGTAAGAGTCGCTACTTGAAGCGTATATCTTAAATATTATATTAAGGCGAGGGATTGAGACTAAAATTGCTCTACGAATTGATGAAGCTCGTTTAAATACTCTGTTCGTCTCTTTTTTACACTTGTTCAACGCAAATTGCATCTTTCTGGAATGGCTGGTCATGACGCCAATATGCTAAGCAACGCATCTACAATTGCTAAGGAACTCGACGTAAGGATAATAGGAAAGTAATCTAGTGGAGAGTAAATGTTAACAACTTTTTAAAGGTATCCTAATTCGCAATCTAAGAACTAAGGAAGAAATGTACAGAGAAAGTCGAAATAACTGCAGCCAAACTTTGAGAACAGAAATGATAAATAAGAAATTCGACAATAATCACATGAAAAAACGGAAATTAGAGCATTGACATGTAATGGTATAGGGCTCATAAGATGTGGAGAAGATAATACGATACATGTCGCGGGTGCCCATGATCCAATTCTTCCCTGCGAGGTAGCAGAGAAAACGGAGCTGGGCTTCTTTTGCTTCCTCCTCTTCTTCTTTCTCGCCTCAAATCCAAGTCTCGTTTGTAATCGCCTCTTAAGCATGTAATCAACCTCATAAGATGCAAAGCCCAGGGAAACGAGTAAATCATAAGGCGTTTTTGGAGAAAAAAAAAAACAAAGCACACGTAGCCGGATGTCATTCTAGACGGTGTACTTGGCCTTGGCCCTGGTGCTACCGCTGTGGGCGCTATCTGTGTGTCCAGAGAATTCCACAACGTCGGCTTCCTTGAGACGGAGGACATCCTTGAACCGGCTGCCGATGGACTCCAAGATCTCCTTGCCTTGGGCGGGGTTACGGGTGATCTTGTCTCCTGGAACACTCTTGCCAACAGTTCTTGTCCACAAACCGACACGGTAGAAGCCTTTACGGACGTTCACAACAACACCCATGACCTCATTGTCATCATCGTTTTCAAGGGTCTCACCAATCGCAGCCAGCTGAGCGTGCAGCCACAGGTCGTCGATAGGGACGGAGCGCTTGTCCTTGAACGAGTACGACCACTTGCCACCGTGTTTGTTCTGGGGGTCTTCCCACTCCGGGCGGATGCCCTTCTTGAAAAGGTGGTAGTCTGCCTTGAGACCCAATTCGGAGGTAGGTGTGATGTTGTTCTAATTAGAGAACTTGGTCAGCGTTCGTTCAACGGGGAAGCAACAGGACAAATCAACGGCAGGAGGATCATACATAGATTCCCCAGAACTCCTCGACGGAGTTGAATGTGACCACTTCCTTCAGCAGATCGTTCCAGTTATCGCCCTATCCATCACATGCCAGTCAGTCAACTGTCCGGGTTATCAAAACCGTCCACGGGATCCACCAATCCGTACCTTGCCACTGGGAGGCTTGGTAAACCAGAGAGTCCATTCGTGCATCAAAGGGTGCTTGACGGTGAAGTTTTCGGGGTCATGGAACACGGTAACATCGCCGTTCGCCTTCTCGTCGGTGGCCACACCGGGGGCGGTGTTCTCGTCGTTGACCGGCGCGGGAGCGTGTTCGACAGCAGCCATTATGATCGGGAGTGAATTTTAGACGGATGCGGAACGAGGAGTAAAAATTAAAGGGTCGTAGTGAGAATGCGCTTAGGGGGGCGGTAGACGAAAGTTGTCGGAGGGGTGCGGTGGGAGTTAGGCGGCGGAGGGAAATTTTGCGTTGAGGTCGGAAGAGAGAAAGAGCAACTCAGCAAAGAGACGCTCACGGCAAACAAAGCAAGATTTTCACGAAGCAGTCGACGTGTAAAAAAATCCACGCAGGAAAGTCTGCTCCAGGCAGAATAATAGGTGTAGAATGAGTTAAGTGGTGACTTTCTGCGACACAAGGGAGGAGAGAAAAAAGAGAGAAGTTGGATCTGGAAGGCGGTTTGGACTCACTCTCGTTGGAGATGTCCGCAAAGCTCTGGGTCCAGGACGCCGCTTTACCGTTTTGGGAACCCTCGGGCGTTTCTAGTCCTCTCATAGGCTGTAGCGGATCTGACCATAGCCCTAACCAGGGACATTTATTCTGATGAATTGAATGCAGTAGATGCGAAGTAAAATATGAGATCTGGTTTCATTGGATAGTCGTTGAGATTTCGTAGAAATGGTCGACGCGATCTAGCCGCCGATCTAGTGAATCTATATAATCCCGAAAGATAAATCGATCAACATGCCTCTCTATTCTATCACAAAATGAGTAGCAGATAAATTTTAGGAAGAAGAACTGGAATCCAATACAGCGCAAAACCGAAATATAAAAAGGAAAAGAACAGAAAATCATGCGTCACCACTGTTGATCATACTCAACAAACAGTTCCAACCTGGTACCAGACAGTCAGCATTTGTATACCCCGGAAGAATTAGATGCACTCACCCAAGCTAACCAAGTTGACCGCGAGCACACGGTATTCCAATGGCACGAACGTGAAGTTAACACCCTGCACCAGGGGCCAGATTGTGAGGTTGGCCTTGTAACTGGGGACGAAGGTGGTGCGCAATTTCTCAATCGGGTCACTACCCTCCATTATGGCCATAGATGACAGGAAACATGTCAGGTGTGTTGGCGTAAAGAGACATTGATCAGCTGCCACTCGAGCGACGATCGTAGCCTTGCTGTTCTTCAGGACGACATGACGCTGAAGGAAACCGAACCATGTCGTGGCGGCCGGACCGAAGATTGCTATTACCGTGAGCAACGGAACCATACGAGGGTACACTTAAATGACCTACCTCCACCATAAAGTGCCATGCGTCCAGTTCTTGCGATGTCATGTTTCTCGAGACCCCTCCGGTCCACCAATTGCTGAGCGAGGACGTCACCGCTACCGAAGAGTATCTGGATAGTGTCAACCGATGGTCATCGGCAATGAAGGTGCAGGAATATCCGTACAGCACTGGTGACACTGGCAGTGAGAATAGGCTGCTTGGCCAACTTGGACTGGTACCTGTCGGGATCAATTAGGCCTAGCTTTATTGAACTCAATTCTCAGTAGAGACTTACCACCGCAACATTTTGCCGTATATGTAGGACAAGGTAGAGAATATTCCCAATTCGACTGACGACTTGAAAATGATAATGAGCCCAGGGGTAGGTGATGGAATAGAAAGACGTCTGATGGAGCTGAAAAACAAGTCTGGGGGATAAGTGACTTCACCGATAAGCCTGGAGCTTCCTGTCCCAATCCAGGAACTGTCCCGCTAACGCTTGGCGGTAATACTTCCCAATAGAGAAGCACATTAAATCACTTGACATGGTCCGTGCGTCATGTCCCGATCAGGACAATAATGTAGGGCATAGGGTTGAAGGCGGTAGGGCTCGTGGGCCTCGCTTAGCGCACCCGCCAGCGAAATTTCCCTTGGGTGCCCGCCCCAAACAGTTGTGGATAGCGAGAGAAAAGCAACCTCGACGTCGACAACTAACGACACTCCCTCCCGTCTCTCTCAATCGCCAAATACATCCAAAATGGCTGACGCCGCTCCCCGTGGACGTGGAGGATTTGGCTCGCGCGGTGGTGACCGTGGCCGTGGCCGTGGCCGTGGTCGTGGCCGTCGCGGCGGTGCTAAGGAGGAGAAGGAATGGCAGCCCGTCACCAAGCTCGGTCGTCTCGTGAAGGCCGGCAAGATCACCAGCATGGAGCAGATCTACCTGCACTCTTTGCCCATCAAGGAGTTCCAGATTGTGGACTTCTTCTTGCCCAAGCTCAAGGATGAGGTTATGAAGGTACGGAACGATTTTTTTTTCAGTTGTCGATTTTGGAGGAAACGGGCTACGATTTGTTACGGAAGAATTTGCGCATTTTCGATAATTGGAGGAATTCGAAGTCGATAAAACGATATTGGGAGATTGAAATTGCGAATTGAAGTTATGGGACCAGGACGAACAGTTCACTAACGAATTGATTCACAATACAGATCAAGCCCGTCCAGAAGCAGACCCGTGCCGGTCAGCGTACCCGCTTTAAGGCCGTCGTTCTCATCGGTGACTCTGAGGGCCACATCGGTCTCGGTATCAAGACCTCCAAGGAAGTTGCTACCGCCATCCGTGCCGCCATCACCATCGCCAAGCTCGCCGTTCTGCCCGTCCGGAGAGGTTACTGGGGTTCCAACCTTGGTGAGCCTCACTCTCTGCCCGTCAAGCAGAGTGGAAAGTGTGGATCCGTGTCCGTCAGAGTACGTCTTTGAAACCCTCGATTTGCGATTGCGATTGAACTTGCGAAAGCGATTGCGTTATGGAAAGGAATTGTTTGGGCTAATTTGGTCACAGCTTATCCCCGCTCCCCGTGGTACTGGACTTGTTGCCTCCCCCGCCGTCAAGCGTCTGCTTCAGCTTGCCGGTGTCCACGACGCCTACACCCAGTCTACCGGTTCGACCAAGACCCTCGAGAACACCCTCAAGGCCACCTTCCAGGCCGTCGTCAACGTCTACGGCTTCCTTACCCCCAACTTGTGGTCCGAGACCAAGCTCACCCGGAGCCCTCTGGAGGAGTTTGCTGATGTCCTCCGTCAGCCCAAGAAGTACTAGGTGCTCTGTAGTGATGGGATTAAATTAAATTTGCATGACTTGTTTTGACCAACTACCTCTTTTCTACGGATTCCTTTTTACTTTTTTTTCCTGACTGGAGGACCGGTGATGCTTTAATGGGAGTTTTCTCGTTACTCTAAAAATAAAAGTATGACGCTCTGCTACGCCTGAAGATGTATCTATGGGAAGGGACTACAAAAATAGTGTGGAGTCAATGAAGCTGCCATCCGCCGGTCAATTTAATGATTATGATATCTTATTTTCTTCTGGCGCAGCCAATTCACGGGCCTACATAATAGGGACCGCGACTGCACCGGAGTAGTAGTCCAGCCATAACGAACACAACGAGTTTATATATAAAAAATGAATCTATAGGTGGCAGACAGCACAAATATCTGCCGTCAAATATATATATCAAGCCCTAATCAAGCTACTTCGAAATATATGTCATCCGTCGAAGGTGACAACGACTATCTGTATTCTGCATACCATGCCTACTCTATACTGCGCGAAATCGCCAATGATTCTCATGGAACACCAACTCTTGAGCGATATCGGAATGTCGTTGAGCTCGCAAGAGCAAGTAGTTTATTTGTAGTATTTCATCGAGGTTCTATGATCTTGTTGTGGCTTCCATGTCTTCGTAGGTCTTGTAGGACAAGGGACTGGATATACAGCTTTGCTATGCTATTGTCTACTCTTCCGGTACTCGTCGCGAAGAATAGAAAATTGAAGAAATGATTCTTTCGCCTTGACCATATCAATAGCCTGACAGTCAACGGCCTGTAACTGGTTTAAAAAAATAACTTTCTTATTGTAGTCAAGTATGGTGGATACCTTTACTATGCCATTTCCCAACTGCTACTTCACTTCCTTTCACCTCCCCTTCACTTCACAACTCATAACCTCTCCCCGTACAAAAAGCCCCCGTCCAAATTCCATCCAGTGAACGTCAAAATGTCAGAAGTCAAAATGGAAGACCATCCTGACCACTGGAAGTCGACTCTCCTAGGCGAGGGCTTTTGGAAAGACGCAGAGGTCTTTAACCAAGTCGTAAACGATGATATCGAGGCTGGTGAGTTTCATCAACATTGTCTCTTTACGCTATCTACTCACCTAAGGTGATACACGTCAGAACAAGAACAAATTCTCGACAAGTTTCCCTTCAACCTAGGCCCAGAGCAGGGTCCTGCTCCTCGTCCCCCCAGCAGCACGAACGAAACGCATCTCAAACGCCACCAGCAACAGCAGCAGCAGCAGGAACAGGAGGAAGACGAGTACGTGCAGGAACAACCCCAGCAGCAAGGCCGCCGTCGCCGCCGTTTTAGCATGAACGATGCTTTCAGCTTGAGCTCCCTCAACCTCAGCCCTAGTCGCCTCCTTGGTCGACGTTCTCGCTCTAGCTCTCGCTCGCACTCACCTACACGCCCCCCCAGCGTTCTATCAGAGACCCATCGAACGAGTTCACGGCTACGTTTAGCATTCACCATGTCAAGCAACAACAACAGAAAGAAAAGAGACGACGACGCCGATACCGACTCCATCTACTCAATCCCACTCCGCGGTCCAAACGACCCAGGTACCCCTGAAAAACCACTAATGTTCTTCCGCGGTGGTGCATCTTGGAACGTCCTTACTAGAGACATGCAAGCGATAGGCATCGATCTATTCTGGCCCGTCAAGCAGGACCAGGAAGGTGATCGAGAGGTCCTACATATCGAAGAGATGGCCCCGCTATGCCAGTTCCGCGGACTACGTGTGCTGAAAATCACGGGTATGTTGCAGTCGTACCAGAAGTACATCTGGCAAGCTGCGTGGTTGAACACGGAACTCGAGGAGCTGGAACTGGGTATGGCGATTGGACCACGCATCCGGCGGAATTTTCCCGGTGACTGGCCTTTTATCAAGGGTGGGTGGGCTTTGAAGCAGGATACCTATGGTGAACCGGTTTACTAGTAAGTAACACCACATATACACCTCACCTCACACCTTACACCACATACCACATATCATAGTTACCAAACCTAGTTCTAATCACAACACAATGACAGCGGCCACATGGGCACCGGAAACCTCCACCGTACCATCGGCATTGGCGAATACCTCGACAAGACCAGCATCGAAAAGGCCAAAGTCCGCGCCATGGCCACGGGTCGCACGCTGAATCGCATCTCCATCAAGACCTTAACGCTAAACGGCTTCGTGGTCGACGCAGATCCGATACTCCTCTGGTTTGATCCAAAAATGCTTCGTTGTATCAACTTCCGAGATAACTGCGTCGACGCGGGGTTTTATCTTTGTCGACCGATGAGGAAGGTTGAGGTGAAGTTTCCTACGGAGATTGAGGAGAAGGCTGTTACTGTGAGGAAGGTTGATGTACGTAAGGAGTTGAAAATTGTGGAGTTGAGGGGTGGGAAGAAGGTTAGCGAGGTGCCGTATTCCGGACGGGAGAGGCATGGATTAGGCTCTGGAGATGGAACACAGAAGACAGAACACCCTGATACTGAACGGAAAATGGGTAACATGGCACTCGACAGTCCTAAGAAAGAGGGAATTAGGACTACTACGGTTGTCGAAATCGAGAACATGCCCGCATATGACTACAATGGAGACGGTGGTTCTTATGCATACTACCGCAATGTGTTCGTCAGTATACCTCCAGAACATTCAGATTGTGACTGGGACTGAATGGACACTGACGTTTGCCATAGTAACCCAGCGGCACCGTTTGATCGAGATGCTCATCTATTCACGATAGAATGCTAGATCACTGCATGCCCTATTCCATTTCGAGGCGATATTCCCCATTCATGATTTATGAGGCATGAGTTTATGTTAATGTTTTTCTTTTTATCTATGGAAGCTCCCAGTATGTTTGTCAAGAGAAGCATAATATCAATCAAGGCTCAGAAACCAAAGTAATTTAAATTATAAAACTCATTAAGCACACATATCCTATTGATCTCCAAAGCAACTATCCATGCCTGTACAATTCAATTTCAATGCATCCCTTCCATTACTGAAAGCCATTTTCGCCTGTCATATCGTTGGGTACCATTGCCAGTTCGATTATACCGATTCGAGATTGGCCATAACCCTGATTCCATATCCAAAAGACCAACTCTCCGCAAACGAGCAGAGAGCTACGCTCCATCGCCATCTTCATCAGTGATGCGAATGGCGCCTTCGTTGCCGATTCCGCGGGACCAGAAGCCGTCGAGGTAGAGAGTACTGCGCACATTAGTTAGCCGCTTTTCCTCAAGGATCTGGGGATTGTTGCTTACGTTCCAGCCACACTTTCATATGCAATCAGAAGCCAGTAGCCAAGAATACCCTGGGTGAAGATATCCAGAATAGCAAATAGAATGGTCTCAGCATCCACGTTCAACTTGAGCGCGATACCACCAGCGGCGAGGACACTGTTTTGTTAGCACACACTCACATCACACTCACCAAAGGGGGTACGTACATCGGATACAGAACCTTAGCCAATAATGTTGCCCCCGCAACAGTCCCGTAAAACCTCCTTCTCTGCGAATCCTTACCACTCGCCGCCCTGGTCCCATGAATCCCCACCTGATAAACCGTCACCAAATACCCCACACAACTAACCACAAACCAAACCCACTTCACACTCGCATTATCCGTAAACGTGCCCAGCAGTCCCGAAGAAAGCATAACAAAGTCCGCCACGATGGCAACGAGTAAGTTTGCGCCAGGGAGGCCGGAAAGGAGGGCTAGGTTAATGAGCATGAGTGGGTTGGTGAGGAACCAGTTTATGTAGCGCAGGTAGAGGATTTGACGGTAATGGTGTTCGGTTGTGTCGGGGACGTGTTTGTGGGCGTGGGTGAAGATGGAGTGGTTCCAGGCTGTGCCGGTGCCGGTTGCGAGGGCCATGTAGGTTATGAACGAGATTGTGGTGGTTATGGCGACCAGGGTATGGAGGATGCGTTTGGACTGGTTTAGTTAGTGATCGTGTAGATTTTCTTGGTCTGTAGGGGACGTACCAATGGTGCCCTAGAAGTTAGCACATAGAAGACGAGAGATGAAAGCGCCATGAGCACGGCGACGACCCTATCCAATGTCAGTTTCTTGTCGTGTCAAATTGTACTCGAATTACACACCATAATGTCCTCTTCCCTGTCTCATGGATCTCCTGCAGCACAGCACTAGGACCCGGGATCACCGTGGGAACAGGTCCTACCGACGGACTCGACGTCGGGATCGGAGGAAGCGAAGTTTTCGTAGCGAATGATTCAATCATGGTTGTTGTATAGCTCAATGATATCGAATGAATTAGGGGGTTGGATCTGTAAGGAATTAAACTGAATACAATTAAAGGAGGGCATTCGTATTTAGAGAAATGCAGGATTACAGTGACAGTCGTCATCCTGACTTCGACGTTGTCGTCATGAATCTTACGCGGAATTGGCATCCAGTTTTATCCATGGTAGAGCTTCATATCTTCCAATAGAAGGCTGTGTATTATGTGGGAGAGGAGAAAATGCAGGTATTGAGGTGCACAATGTGTTGTCGAGTTCGTCATTTGATGCTACATCGAGGAGTTGTTGCCTCCGCTATAGACCACCGCATCGGGGTTATGGATATGGATTCTAAGTCAATGTATCCTATCTATAACTTTTGATTCCGGTCTAGAATAGGAGAAACAATATTATGATACAAATGAACAAGAGCGCTATGGTACATAATCACATAAATTCAAGATCCGAATTCATACTCATGCAGCGTTGGCATCAAGGTCACGAACAACCTCGTCGCACCGATCGCATAGTCTTTCCTCTTCCTGCTCCGCTGCCGGCGGTTCCGGCACAGCATACCTCCAGCATCGAGGACATTTCACGTCCTGTGGCGTGTACACATACACAGTTCCCTTCTGGCCACTAGGCAGTTCAAACTGCCCTGTGTAATGCCATTCCGCATTCTGGATACTCGAGGGAGTAGGCTCACCCTCTGCACTCAGGGTCACAGAGGAAACCACGAATAGGTCAGGGAGTTCTGACAAGTATCGTTGCAAAACGGAGCTGGTGATGTTCTTACCCGGAAGTACGATGTGGACAAACGATTGAAGAGACGAACCCAGCTCTTTCTTGCCTCGTGCGTTCTCCTGCACTGTCTTGATCACCGAGTGAGCGGCTATTAGTTCTTGGTAGTCATTCTCGAGAGCAGGATTCTGCCATTCGGGCGCAGGAGAGGAAACGATGCGTTTCAGGGGGTGTTCGCGTTGCGATTTAACCGCCTCAGGAGCATGTTCCCAGGTTTCTTCGATGAGCATCGGCGTAATCGGGGCAAGAACTTCCTGCAGGTGGTTGTAGATGTGGAACAACGTTGTCTGCGCGGCACGTCTGCTGACGCTATCCTCTCCGTAAGTGTAAAGACGGTCCTTGATAGACTCCATGTAGAATGCAGAGAACTCAAGATTGGCCCATCTGTTAATGGTGTTCACGGCTCTGTGAAACTCGAAGTTCTCGCAGGCCTTTTGGCTAGTGACGACCATATCAGACAAATGCATGAGGGCGATCTGATCAATCATCTGCAGCTGGTCGTACGGGAGTATACGGTCCATGGGGAAGTCTGCAAGAGCTCCGAGCAGAAGCTTGAAGGTGACACGGTACTTGTGCAGACTAGTGTTGACTGTCTGGAGGACCTGCTTTCCAACAACCACGTCCCTCGTGTAGTCACTGCTAGCAACCCACATGCGAAGCGCGTCGGGACCAAGAGCATCATAGACAGGGGCTGCATTCTCTGACTGCTTCTTCTTGCCCTTCTTTTGCTTGAGTGGTGGCAGGAGGGTTCCATCCATAATGGCTTTCGGTTCCACCACATTGCCAATCGACTTGCTCATCTTGCGACCGTCTTCGTCAAGGGTGAAGCCATGGGTGACCAGGGTTTTGAACGGCGCGGCAGGAGCACTCGTCTGACCTGAAGCAAGCTGGTGTGCGACGTACGTGAGCAGTCCTGACTGGAACCAGCCACGGTGCTGGTCAGTTCCTTCGAGGTAAACATCCGCGAGATGACCCTTGTCCTGAGCGAGTCCTTCGATTTCGGACCAGCTGGTACCGCTGTCAAACCAGACGTCCATGGTGTCTGTCCCGCGTCGGTACCCGGAACCAGAAGCATCTTGCAGAGACGCAGGAATCCATGCAGAATCGTCCGCATCGTCCGTCCACCAGGCATCGACACCGCGCTCATCAATCACAGACATGATGTGCGATACACTGTCCTTGGTAAGCACAGCTTCGCCCGTGTCACGGTGGTAGAGCGCAGGAATGGGGACACCCCATGCACGCTGACGAGAGATACACCATTCGCTTCTATTCTTGACGAAGTTCTCTAACCGTTGTTTTCCAGACTGAGGAAGGAAGTGGACGTCTTGCAGAGCTTTGACAGCGCTGTCGCGAATATCTCCAACATCGGCAAACCATTGCTCAGTAGCTCTGATGATGATCGGGAGCTTAGAGCGCCAGTCGTGCGGGTACTTGTGTTCGTACCGGTGCTGCGCCAAGAGCTGGCCCTGCGACTTGACATATTCCAAAACAGCGACATTTCCCTCTCCAAGGACACTCTTGCCGCTCAATCTGCTGGGATCGATGGGCATGGCCTCGTTGGTGAATTCTCCGTGGTCATTGACCGGGGCGAATGCGGCAATTCCATGAGACGCACAAGCTTCGTAGTCATCCATACCATGACCAGGGGCGCAGTGAACGAGTCCAGATCCAGAATCTGCAGTCACAAAGTCCGCCGCAATCATGGGCTGGGGCTGAGCATCTTGTCCCTTGAAAAGCGGCCGGTACGTAGTCCGATCTGCCAGCTCTGAGCCAAGAATCGACGGCACAATGACGGATAAGTTCTCCTTCAGAATATTCTGAAGATATTCTAACCGAGATTGCGCAATGAGTAGGTACCCGCATGTGTCCGACTCGACGATGGTATATCGCAGAGATTCATGAACCGCAATCACAGCATTGGCCGGCAGCGTCCAGGGCGTGGTTGTCCAGATAACAGCATTAACCTCCTTATCGCGAAGTAAAGGATTCTGCAACAAGTGAGGCGGAATGGAAACGAGCGGAAACTTAACCAGAGCAGCGGTAGACACATGATCTTCTTTGTACTCCAATTCAGCTTCTGCCAGCGCCGTACCAGTAGACGGAGACCAATAGACAGGTTTGAACCTTCGATAGATCAAGTCCTTATCAACCATTTCACGGAAAACACCTAATTGTCTCTTCTCAAATTCCTTATCCATAGTCTTCCAGTGACTCTCCCAGTCAGCCATAACACCGAACCCGTGGAATCCCTTCATCTGCTCTTTAACCGCCTTCCCGGCCAATTTCCTTGCCTTGTTGCGAATCACCGCCGCACTGACGGGCCCATTTGCCACCAGTCCGGCATCTTTCTCGCCTTGTAGCGCCTTCAATTCGATAGGCAATCCATGACAGTCCCATCCAGGCACATAGCGCACTCTCTTCCCCCGCCCCAGCTGTACTCGGCAGATGATATCCTTGAGAATCTTATTCAGCGCATGACCAATGTGAAGCTCGCCATTCGCGTACGGGGGTCCATCATGTAGGACAAAGGGTCGATCGGCGGGTCGTTCGCGGCATTGCCAGGCGTATAGCTCGTTGGTGCATCGCTGCAGGTATTTTGCTTGATCGGCCGGGGGCACACGCGCCGGGAACGTCGACTTGGGGAGCTTGAGTGTCGACGACCAGGACCGTGTGAGCGTCCGCGGCAATTCTGGCATACTACCTCTGAAGAAGCATGTCCTGTTCAGAACGGCGCTGCTGCTTGGAAAAGGTCTCCGGCAGTTTGGCGGAGAAAAGCGGGCAATCTTCACGATGCGGGTAACGATACGTAATATTACCATTTTTATCTGATTTTGGACCGAAAATGTCGTAATGTGATTACATGGTATATTACACAAGAAGCGATTGACGATTTGAGATAAAAAAAAAAAACATCATTACATTGGTAATATCTTATAGTAGAAGATGGTAGTGTTGGCTGGTAGAATCCCTAAACGCCTGCCACAGAAATGTTACTCCAAAGGATAATCAATAAATCGTGACGCAGCTCACTGCGCCGTTCTTCATGACTTCAAATAGAAGCCCAGGAAATCCAAACAACTCGGTATTACCTAGACCCCCATCCTGGCTGTCGCCACCAGCTCTCGGTCCCCGGCCGGTACTCTCTTCCCAGCCGCCAAGGAATTCAACGCTGCTTTCCGGGCTGTCGCCCCAGCCACGATTCAGCACCATTGGGCGTTGAAGCGCTCGCTCCTCTGCAGCGTTCGCGTACGATCCCTTCCAAACGTCTCTAAGCCGCGATGAGATCTCGTCATACGGGGTCTCTGAAGTGACGGATTCACCATGCGCATCAAAGTAGATAGTCCAACGACTGCGCCGATGGCGGTTGAATGGATACGAGCCCGGGACGTTCCCATGTAGGATGATCTTTGTGACGACCAATTGAGACGATGGAGTTGGAGGTGCTGGATCAGATAGATCGGACCCTGGAAATGCAGGGCCAGGCGTGGTAGGGAAGCTGATAAAAGCATCAAATCCATGGTGGAAATAATTATAGAAGCATTCTGTGGGCATTGAGGAAGGGTCCAAGGTTTCTCCATGGGAAATATCCTCGTCTGAATCATCAGTCATGCTGTTGTTTGAAGACTGGTCGGTATCAGTAACATCAATCCCTCTGGCTGGGGATGGACTCATATGCAAAGCATCTGCACCACCACCACCACCGCCGCCTGCAGCACGGTGGATTGAAATTCTTCGATCATTCTTACGATAAATGGCATCAGGTGGTCCAAACTCTGCAATCAAGTCTTGAGGTGTGGTCTCGGAGAGAGAGATGTATGTGGTAGGAGTTGACCTTCGGAAAACCTCAATCTTTCCAGCTCCCAAGACATTGAACTCCTCGATCTCATCTGGAGACGCTTCCCTATTCTTCCCGACCAGTGCTGGAGAACGAGGATACTGAGGAGGCTGTGTGAACAATTTAGACCTGGATTCCGGCCACGATGAGCCCTGATAAATCGCCATAGACGTGGCTGGTAGTGCTGCTGAGGATGAGAGCAATGCTACAAAGTCACATTGGTCCGAATACGCCGAGTTCTGCAGCGGGAAGGAGAATGCGACCCCGGGATACGAGAGGACATAAGTACCATATGGGGTGTGAGAGGTTGGAGGTATATATTCACCCGGGTACGATGGACCGAAGAGACGGTTGTAGACATGACGGAAGCTAGGACCCTGTTGGGACGGCGTTTGCTCCTTCGTACCCTTAACCACGTCTTGGTTCTTGTAAACCATCGATATCTTGGTGAAGTCGAGTACCTCAATCAGACGCAGTCTCTGGTCAGGGCCATCGAATCGTAGGCGAAGACCATTCGACGGAAGCTGTAGGACAACTGGCTTGCGCAAGGGATCCGAGGACGAGTACGCCAGGTCAATTGCGGGGTATGTTTGGGGATGGGCTTTAACACGGCTGAGGACATTGTGAAGGGAAGCACCCAGGGCTATTTGATGCTAAGCTGTCAGTCCAATTTTCCAGACGCATATATAGTATCGGAGGGAGGCTTGCTTATGAATCCCAGGCCCTTGCCAGGATAGATCTGAGCCTGCGCCGAAGCTTTGGAGGAGGCCATATCGATAATGTCCGGGCCGTTATCAAGGCCAGCTGGGGCAAAATAGGTCCATGCAGCAGCAAGAGCTGTAAAAGAACGGTCAATATATGAAAAGAAACCTCAGGTCTCTAAAAATTGATGTCTACAAAATCACGACGATGATGGTCCAGAAGTCTTTCGTTTAAATGTATAAGAGAACGTCAGCTGGCGATAAGGAAAATGATCATGTGATGAGGGGGCATGACCCCTAAGCATTGGCCGTCATGTGACACGTGTGCGGAGACCGCCTTTGTTTACATTTCCGTTTTCAGAATTCGGAGCACAACATCCACTGCAACGAAACTTCTTTACTTATCCCACACTCTGTACAGAATATATCGGCGTTGTACATATTTGATTTTGAATTTTTGCTACTTCCTTGTCATTGAACCTGCAAACGTTTTCATATTGTCACCATGGCTGGCCCCCCACGGCCTGCCTCTGGTCTGCCCACGAGACGGAGCGCGATGCGACCACCTACCAAACGAACAACCTCAGCCACTACCGATAGGTCGTCCTCTTCTGCTTCTTCAACTAGACCGTCTAGCAATGCGCGCGTGCTTAAATCGCCGAGTGAACCGTCCAGCGTCGTGAGCAAGAGAAAGGAGAGAGACTTCGAACGGGAAATCAACGAGGACACTAGCATTCGTGTTGTCGTGCGATGTCGTGGTCGGAGTGAACGCGAAGTCAAAGAGAACAGTGGTGTGGTAGTCTCGACAGACGGTGCCAAAGGGAAGACAGTAGACCTGTCAATGGGACCGAACGCGCTGTCGAATAAAACATACACGTTCGACAAGGTCTTCTCTCCGGCTGCTGATCAGACAATTGTTTATGATGATGTTGTTCTTCCAATTGTCAACGAGGTAATTAGTTTGACCGAGACACAAAGGGCTCTCCAACTAACGGGAATTTTAGATGCTTGCGGGTTACAACTGCACCATTTTCGCATACGGCCAAACCGGAACGGGAAAGACATATACGATGTCCGGCGACATGACAGATACATTGGGCATTCTATCCGACAATGCCGGCATTATTCCACGCGTTCTATACTCATTGTTCCACCAATTAAAGGATACGGAAAGTACCGTGAAGTGTTCATTCATCGAATTGTATAATGAAGACCTGCGCGACCTACTATCGTCCGAAGATAACCCGAAGCTGAAGATCTACGAGAATGAAAAGAAGGGTCAAAACGGAAGTACTATGGTTCAGGGAATGGAAGAGACCTATATTGATACAGCGCATGCAGGTATCAAGCTGCTCCAGCTTGGTAGCCACAAGCGCCAGGTTGCTGCGACCAAGTGCAACGATCTGAGTTCGCGCAGTCATACCGTTTTCACGATAACAGTGTACACCAAGCGGACGACAGAATCGGGGGAGGAATACGTTAGCCCTGGAAAACTGAACCTGGTTGACTTGGCCGGAAGCGAGAACATCCAACGCAGCGGAGCCGAAAACAAGCGTGCAGCGGAGGCTGGGCTAATCAACAAGAGCTTGCTCACACTGGGTAGAGTCATCAATGCGCTTGTGGATAAGGGTAGCCATATTCCCTACAGAGAATCGAAACTCACGCGTCTGCTGCAAGACTCTCTGGGAGGGCGAACGAAGACTTGCATCATCGCCACAGTCTCAACGTCGAAAACGAACCTCGAGGAAACGATATCGACTCTGGATTACGCCTTCCGAGCCAAAAATATCCGCAACAAACCGCAGATCAACTCCATGATGTCCAAGAAGACTCTTCTACGAGAGTTTACTTTTGAAATCGAGAAGCTCAAGGGAGAGCTTATTGCCACGAGGCATCGAAATGGCGTTTACATGACACCAGATGCGTACGAGGAGATGACCATGGAGAACGAGTCTAGAAGGATAGTCAACGAGGAACAACGTGCCAAAATTGAAACCATGGAGTCGAGTTTACGCCACAAAGTCCAAGAGCTTTTTACGTTGACCAGCAATTTCAACAATTTGAAGAAGGATAACGAGGAGACGCAGGCCGCCCTCAACAACACCAACGATGTCCTCGAGAAGACTGAGATAGTCCTGAATAATACCAAGGCGACCCTTGAAGAAGAAGAAATGCTCCGAAAAGCTCACCAAGAAACAGAGACACAGCTTCAAAATGTTGGAACCGGCCTTGTGTCGACACTGGGCAACACTGTCAAGGATGTGGAGGGCTTGCATGCAAAGATTCAGCGTAAGGCCGACTTGGCAGCACTCAACCAACAATCCTGGAAAACGTCTAGTGGCGAGATTTCCGATGTTACAAAGCAAATTGACGCCCGGGTAGGAGCTTTTCAGGATCAGCATTCAACGCTCGTGGAGACCATCTCGGACCGGATTAGCCAATTTGTCGAGACTGAATTGAACAATGTGCAGTCGAGCCAGTCACAGCTTGAAGGCTTCAGTTCATCATTTGACAAGGCAGAGGCAGAGGCTACTGCCCAGACCTCTGGTGCACACGATGAGATGAACGAGGTACTCGAGGAGATCAAGGTCTTGCGTGAAGAAGTCAAGGGTCGAGTGGGAGAAGGGCTGAATGGCTTGTCGGCTGCAGCTGGTCGTATTTCCAAGGAAGTTATTGGCGAGTTTGCCGACTTCCATGCTCAGGTGAGTCCGGCCATCCCTCCATGCATCAATGGACGTTAGCTGACAGATACAGCTCTATGAATCTTATAACACCCTTGGCAAGGACATGAAGTCCATGTTCGACGGCGTCGTGAATCATCTTCATGAGCAGAAGACAGAAATCAGTCAGCTGCGATCGCAACTTCAACAGGCCAACCAAGAGACCATCGAGGCCAACCGCAAGGCTTCATCTCAGTTGGCACAATCTATGGAAGAAGAGAATGCAACTGCTGAAGCGGAGCGAGACCAGTTGCTGTCCCAAATTAAGATCCTAATGGATGAATCACGACAGAGGCAATTTGGCCGCATGAAGAGCAAGTTTGACGGTGTGAGGGTAGATATCTCATCCTCGGGCGACGCGCTGGAGCAAGCGACGACTCAACATGACAGACATGTCGATGAGTGGGTGTTCAAGTCGGAGCAATTCGCAAAGGACGTCACCGCATCTCGAGACGAGGTCAAGACGAAGATGCAGAACGACTGGGAGGTAAGAGACATCAGTACCCGTCTTTCAGTATATGCTCATGCTAAATTGATTGCTAATAGGTATTCGACCATCGCAACGCATCTATCCAGAAGGTTACAGAGTCCGTACAGGAGGAGACTGTCCGCATTGTCGACGCCCAGATGAAAGACATGGGCAAGCAGATGGGCGCATTGGATGATTTCGTAACCAAGGCACGGTCCCAGAATGGCCGCTTCCATGAAGCGCATCTGAATAGCTTGAACAACATGGCGTCCAATGTCCGTCAATCCTATTCAACCGTCCAAGAGCAATTCGGAGGATTCGGTGAACGGGTTGATCGATTACAGAACGACACTGCTCAAGACAAAGATAGTCTCCTGGAAGTCGCTGCACCTCTGACGGACGAGGTCCGGAACCCTCTGTCAGCCCTGCGCACGAACATCCAAGCTCGCCCGTTGAAAGAATACGTCGCCACCGGAGTCACTCCAGCAAAGCGCCCCTACGAGTACCCAACAACCCTGCCCCAAACTGAACCCCACGAGGCCCTCGTCGCAAGACTCCGAAACTCCAAGCAACTCCAAGACCTCCCCTTCGGCGGTGAAGATAAATTTACCCCTTTAAACAGCTCTTCGCCCACAGCCTCACCATCCAAGGGCTTCGTCTACAATGACGCTGAGGATGAGGTAGGACCAGAGCCACCTGCCCCTACTCCTGCCCCCGCTCCTGTCATCACTACTCCTTCCAACACGAGACTTAGGGAAGTTGATGCAAACGTCGTTGCCAGACCGGCCGATGAAGCCACCCTCGGCCGGTCCTCGTCCGTGAAACCTTCGGGTTCGGAGAGTGAGCATCATCGCCCCGAGTCGACGCCGTCGGATGAACCTCCATCCAAACGGCATTGCTCTACTACTGTAGTCGCCGAAAACAAACTTCCGCATAAGGCGCTTAATAGGAAGATGGTGGGAATGATGGGGGGTAGGGAGAATGTGGCGCCGTCTCCTGCGACGCGGGCTTCGCGGAGACTTAGAGGTCGTCCTTCTATGACTGGTTAGGTGTGGTTCGTTTCGTGTCTATCTATTTGTGTTTGTTTCTCGTGGCTATTGGTTCTTTTTGGTTATCGGGTCAAAAGCTTCTGGTTTATACCCCGTGGTTTGTTGTTTGGCGTTTTTGCTGCAAGCTCTGTAGAGTGCGGCTTACTGGCGTTTTGTGGGTTATCTTTCTTGTTCTTTACTTCTTCGATGGTCCTAGTTCTTAGATACCTTATTTGCCTATTCAATGCCTACATTTTGCAATTGTTATTCATCAAGATACCCTTCCCTGGAGTAAAATTGTGTTTGAGAGAAATTGTACCCTTAAGGCCTAGTATTATTGGGGCTACTCTACTAATTCCCTTCTGTGTTGAATTTTGTAATCGAGCGTCAGGATTCACGAAGTGCACCAGCTTGGGTTTCAAGATTCCCTAGCGGCTCTTGCTCTGTCGTTCCAGCCGTGGTATTGATACCATTATCCATGCTCTGCTGGGCCCCAACATGATCATGTTCTCCCGCTCCATCTCCTTGCTGTTGTTCTATATCCGATTCGTAAGGCATATGTTCCCCAGCTTCTATCACCTGTCTGAGCTCGCCCATCCGCTTCGCAAACTGGTCCATCATATCTTCCAATCGCTGGCCTCCACGTTCTTTATCCTTTTCTTTTGAAACCGTACTTGGCGGTAGCCCAGGCGTGCCATGAATCTTGAGCATCAATCCTCCGTTGAGTGGTTGTTCGCCTGACGTGTTGTTCTCGAAGGTAGGGGCCGGGACTAGCTCAGTGTTGAGGACTTGCCATGCGGGTGTGAGGCTGTGGGCTGAAGTAACCGTGAACTGAGGCGTTTGTTGCTGCGGATGCTGGTTTTGCTGGTGTGAGGTGGCTGCCGGGTGCGCCGCAGGCGAGGTCGACATGGAATTGGTGCCGCCGGCGTTATTCGGACCCACGTCTGTCTTGGGGGTGGGTTCTACATCTAGAATAATGTAATTATCCCGTACCCCAGGGATGGGAGTTGGTAAAAGAGTATCCTTTCTCAACCCCGAAAGCTCGTCCTCTTCATTGTAACCTGGCCCGTCTTCGCTTTCACTTTGCCGTGACCGGATCGGTCTCTTCCCGCCAGTAGAGCTATCCTGCTCTGGCTCTAGTGACCGCACAGCAGCTTCAGTCAGGATATCCGTGTCGTCATCTGAGAAGATGTAGTGGACCGTTGGATGGTGGTATTCCCCCGTGTTTGCGTCCTCGATCAAGGTGAAGAACGGATTGAAGGGTTGGTTGTGGCTGGCCGGGACATTTGAGGCTCCATCATTCTCGTATTGCAGGTTTTCAATTTGATCTGGATGGGGTTGTTGATCGTGTTCTGTTGGTTGTGTCGTGGGAGGTCGGTCGATGGTCTGAGGGCGCGAAGCTGGTGATCCCGAAAGGTCACGGACGAATTGCCTGGGTGATGAGGATAGGGAAGGAGATGCAGCGTTCGTGTAATGCTTTGGAAGTGACATCTCCGCGGCTGCGAGACTACATGGTCAGGAAGAGAAAAGGAAAAGGAGGATGTCGTGGTGGTAGTGTAGCAATGATGATGGTTGGAGCTGTTGGAGATCCCTTATCGATAATGGTCAGGTGATTTTCTACTAGTACATATGCAACCCTCTCTACGTGTACTAGGATTACTCAGTAATTTCGGAATAAGAATCATATTTGTATAGTCTACATATTCTCTAGGGCATCGGGTTCCTGTAGCAAGCTATCATGCTGGCTGTTTCCTAATCTCCAGCTTTGCATCCGGGTCACTCAACATCTCAAACCCCATCTCCACAACCTTTGGCTTGACACCTTCCGGAATCCTGACATCGTAGGTCAACAGAATCTTAGCCAGCGCAATCTTGACTTCATTATTAACAAAAAACCTCCCGGGACAGATTGGCTTCCCTATCCCGAAGGCGATATGCTCTGGACTGGTGGAAGCGAGTGCTGCCCAAGCATTGCCGGCCTGACGTAAACGAAGAAAACGGTGGCCGTCGTAGGTGAAAGGGTTATGATAAATGGCGGGATCCCACATCATGGATGAGTCAACGGCAACGTTAGTTCCGCGGGGGATAGTCATGCCATTTGGAAGGACGATATCTCGCATAGCCTTTCGTTCAAGATTCGCTGTATGAGAGGGCGGTTCAGTACCTTGAAACAGGGATCAATGAGGTATCAGTATCACGTACCTAAAATCCCAGGCTTCAGTCGTTGTGTCTCCTTGATTGCACTGTCCAAAAGCTGCATCTTGAAAACGCCTGCAGTTGTCCATCCACTCTCCTCGATGGCCTGATTTGCTTCATGTCTTATAGCTGGAATCAATTCTGGATGCATGCAAATGTCCAGGAGAGCCTGTTTGAGCAACTCGGAGGTTGTGTGCATTGCGCTAATGGCGAATGCTATTTGCGCAGCAGCGGCATCGTAGGGGCGTCCCGCGGCTATTTCCTCGAGCCATTCTATGGTATCATTGAACTTTTCTGGTTTATGACTTTCAATGGAATTGGTTCGAACCCTTGCTCTGTGGTCAAAAGTTGGCTGCAACATACGACGAGCGAGACGCAATTGTCGACGGCATGTTCTGAGCTCCGGCAAGAACCAGTGAACAAGTGGGCGAAGAAAAGCGGGCCAAGCGCGGAGTGATCGAACTCCCATAAATGTATTCATTGTAGACGTGAGAACCAGCTCCTGCCATTGAGCATCGCGAGCCAGTTGAGGTCCGACAAAGACAGACGCTGACATTCGCCCGATGAAACGAATTGCGTGTTGAGACCAATCAACGGTGTGCCAATCTTAGAGAATTTAGTTCTTGTCAAGTATTCAATCTCATAGGGTACGAGACATACCGCCATCATCTGTCCAAATTTCTCTCAGAGCCTCTGTGAGGTGTTCATGGAACAATTCACATTCTATTATGGTCAATCAAGCTTCGGTTTGGAAGACAGCTCCGAAGATTTCACCTACGACCGTTCTGATTCAGTTTCGTTTTGGTGACATTGATGAGGATTTTCCTTGGATCAGTGACAATACTCTGTCCTTCCATTCCAGGATACGTAGCAAAGTATTCCTTTCGTATCGCTGTCAATTTCCTTATCATCCTGGCAAAGGGAGATTCAACATACGTCATGTACAAGCGCCTGGTGGTCTAAATCTGAACAGTTCTTCAACCATTCTGTATAAGATGCTGGGAGGATGACTCGAGAGCCAAGGGTTGTTAAAATGCGAAATGGGCCGTTGAACTGAAGCATGCAGATTAGACACCATGCCTCTTTTAGGACTCAATTGATCTTACCTTCTGAATACCTTCCTTAATCAAGCCCCTAGCATTTGATATAAATTCTGCATGGGCTTTTCTCAACGTTATATCACCGGGATAGGAATTGATGGTTGGAATTGCCGGCTTTCTCATCCAACGCCATGTGAGAATAGCAAGGATGCCCAAGAGGACCGTACGGAGAATATGTACAACGGACAAGTCTTTGTCGAGGAAACCGTCTGTGTGAGATTGATAATATGCCATCACTGCTCACGGAAATCGAGGTCTAACAGTCGTGATTGTAATACATTGTTCAAGCAACGTCGATTTTGTTAGGAGCATTTGGTCACGTGTGTAGAACATTGGTTGAGTGACAATGACTCATCTTGATTGGACAACGACTAATACTATCTCCTTGCTTGCAGGAAACTTTCGTCGCTAACCCAAATCGGTTCCCGACAATAGTCTTGACTTGGAAAGAAGGAGTAAGATATCGGGTAGATCGACCCCATGTTGCATTTGACGGTAATTATAACTCGGCCGCTTCTTTCCGCTGCATTCCAGCTTGAGTTTGCATTGCTGTCATTAGGGACAAAGTAAAAATCCAGTAGGGTATCATATCTATAAGCCTCCAAACGCCTTCATGCCTGGTAAAGCATACGCATCATACTTGTATTTCCTGAGTAGTGTCTTGAGCAGTATCCTGAGTGTTTTGAGTAGCGTTTCCGTCTTCCTCGTTTCCTTTCCACTCGAATTCTACAGATGGTCAGCATCCAGTCTAAACCGGACAATTCGCATACATACTCTGTCTGCACATTGGACAGAGACCTTTGGAAGCCTCTTGTTGGATCCAGGTCATCAGACAATGCTGTTACCGTCAGTATCAACAGTCTGGTCCTCGTGACATGGATAGTTTACGCACCATGTGGAAGGAATGGCCACACTTTCCGAGTACTGTAGAGCGTTAGTATTCGCTCTCATTCAACTTTATAGAGGTTATCACATACACAGCGCGCAATCGTCACCAGGAAACTTGCAGGTTGGGCAGGTACCATCGAACTGAACGCGACAGATACCACACACGTCGTCGTCGGGCATATCCCAGCGCCAAGTTGCGACGGCGTTCCACTCTTTGAACGTGACCTTCATTTCCACGGGTATATGTTAGAGTTGTTGATAGAGAGTTTGTCCAGGTACTGATAGGAGGTGTGGGTTCATAATAATCCGAACTCCGCATTTCCCCGCCACATCTTCCTCTTTATCTCTCATCCTCCTACAGAGTACTACAACTCCTCTTCCTCTCAGCGTACTAATTAAAACGTCTGACAGGGCTTAATTCATTCGTCGTGGATGACGCGATTCTTAGGGTCGATTGGCGGCATGTAAATACTATAAATTTACTTGGTTTTCCATATCCTATCCCACTGCGACTATGACTTTCTCGGCTCTCCGCACCTCTGTCCCTTCGCCAACTCGCTTTGTGCGCTCGACCATGTCTCAGTCTCTGCGACAACCGGCCCAATGTCGCCAGGTCTCCTTCTCTTCGTATCTGGTCACGCCCAAGGAACTCAATGAAGCTCTTCGGAAGAACCCAGCCACTAGGATCTCGACGTCACCGCGCGTTGTCCCTCTCTGCGCCGCCTGGTTCATGCCTAACGACCCCGAAGGTCGCAAGGGAATTGACGCTTTCCAGAAGAGTCGCATTCCCCAGGCGCGCTACTTCGACCTGGATGGGGTCAAGGATACCGAGTCGCCGTATCCGCACATGCTCCCCACTTGTGAGACCTTTGCCGAAGCGATGAGCAACTTGGGTATCCGTCGCGACGACAACGTCGTGGTCTATGATACTGAGGAATTGGGGCTTTTCAGTGCGCCTCGTGTGGGCTGGACGCTCCGAGTATTTGGTCATCCTAATGTGCATGTGCTTAATAACTACCGCCTGTGGGTTCATGAGGGATACCCGACGGAGACTGGAGAGCCTGCGCCAGTGGAGAAGACCAAGTACCCCGTTCCCAACTATGACGCGAAACTCGTTGTGCCATACTCTGAGTTGAAGGAGATCGCCAAGGAACATCGGAAAGAGGGCTCCAGAGAGGCGGAGATCTTGGATGCACGGCCCTACGGTCGCTGGGCGGGGATTGACCCCGAGCCCCGGCCTGAACTGTCATCTGGACATATCCCCGGATCGAAGAGCTTGCCCTTTCCGGAGTTGCTTGATCCCGAGACCAAGACCTTGCGACCCGCAGATGAGCTTCGCAAGGTGTTTGAAGAACGCGAGATCGATGCGTCCAAAACAATTATCAGTTCTTGTGGCTCCGGCGTGACTGCTGCCATCATCGAGACGGCTTTGCATGTGTTAGAGTACGGGGAACCAAACCTCCGGAGGGTGTACGATGGCAGCTGGACGTGAGTATCCTTTTGTTTAGGTATATTGTACCTGCAATTGCTAACTGATCAAAGTGAGTGGGCACAGCGTGTGAAGCCGGCGGACGGTCTCATCCGTAAGACTTAGATACTATATCCCTACGACTCACCTCTATATTCATTGTTTCATGGCAAATACGAACTGTATGACAGAATGCCTGATGTCCCTTGCGCGCATTTCTTTTTCCGCGTTGCTTTGATATCCAAGGGCGGATCTGTTTCGTTACATAGAAGCATTTGGCATTTAGATATCCATGTTTTCGACGACAGTACAGATGTGCATAGAACGAAGAATGTCTACTCGTTTCAATTGATTGAATGTAAGAATGTACAGATGTGCTTCAAAGAATGTATTTGCAACTGGCCTGTTGTATAGTTTTGTATAGCCTCTGCTTAGTCAGGTCTTGGTCACCTTGAAGGTATCGCAGTGACTCCAAGAACATCATCCTTCTTCGGTCTCCCTGTTACCATCACCTAGATTTCGCAAAATGCTGCAGATGAGTGTTCTTCTTTACATTGCTGTCTCCTTTAGTGAGTAGTCAACGTAACTTCTCTCTCTTTGATCAATGCCCGTCGACTGCCCCCACATCTTCCAGATCTCTCGACCTCCGCCTCCAAACCTCCTTCGTTAGTTCCAGCATCCCACTGCCTAGTGTTGCCTGCGCTTGCAGTCGCAGCCTTCGGATTGAGCAGCCTGGTGTAGGGGCTGCCTTATATCTCTACTTTATTCTTACCTGGTCGTTTATTTCATCCTGCGACTATCCACACCAACACAAAATTCTCCTTTTGCCGTCCGTTATGCCGACCGTCATGCCGACCGTCATGCCGACCGGACGCAAGGTCTTCCACTGTGCTGTGGACGAAACCGCCTTGACTACCAATATCAGTGAAATCAAGAAATGGACTACGAACGGTTCCATCACCCTGGTGGTTCCTCTGTATAGTAAGTTGAAAGTCCCTTTGAGAGAGGTGGGGAAATACTCCTTGTGATCTGTGTGCTGACCCCGGATTCTTTCTTTTTTCTTTTTTAGCCCTCGAACGTCTCCATGCGCTGAAACGAGCCGGAAATCAAGTTGCCATCAACGCCCGCGAGGCTGTGCGCTTTCTCGACCGTGTCACCTCAGGAAAAGATAACATTTCCGCTGAACGGGTTGTTTTGCAGGGTCCGATGGAGCAGTATGAACGATGGGAGCATGCGGAGAAGTTTTTCCTGCCGGAATTCGAAGAAGAGCCAGAGGCGATCGATCACGGAGTGAATGGCGATGGTCAGGTTTCGCCAGAGAAACGAGCGCCAGGCAGCGTCAAGGACAAGAGAAATGGCGCTTCCGGGTCTGATGATCTGTCCCAGATGCTTCTCAGCAAGTTAAACTTCAAGAAGGATTCCGACGCCATTTCGACCACTTCCGCCGGTACGCATAGTGGCCCTGCGTCTCGAACGTCCTCGCGCAGCTCCCGAACCAGCCCGGAATGCGCCAACTCCCACGGTGATGTGAACGGAGAAGGATCGAAGCCAAACAGAGCGGCTCGTGCAAATGGACACCAGCGCACTGCTTCGGGAACGGCTATTCCGACAGTTCCTCTTGTTCTTCGACCGCTGCTCAGCGCCGTTCTTTGGCGACTGCACGATGGCCCTGATGCATCTAATGTAGCGAAGAGCTGCATCCTTATCTCGAACGACCTTGTGGTACAATCCTGGGCTCAGAAGTTCGGCATCGGGGTGAAGAACATCCATCAGCTGCGGACATCGATCCAATACGAGGAACGAGAGTACAAGAACCGATGCAAATACGTCGAGAAGACCCAAGGTACTGGTCCTACTGCTGCTGCTGCTCCTGCCGAACCCAAGTCGCTTCTATCCTACGACGACGAAAGTGAAGAAGATGAATTGGTCTTTGTTCCTCGCGGTCGTGGAAAGGGAACTGCCACAAAGAGCGGAGGCTCACGTAGCAGCAACCGCAAACCGGCCCCCTCGAAGAATGTTGCACCACCTCTGGAGGAGACGATGGAAGTCCCAACAGCCCCCATTGACCCCAATTCGTTCAGTCGGTCCATTGGCGGAGCCGTCAAGCAGCCACAGCAAACCGTCGATCTGAGCACTCAGGCTGGGGCCGCCCAAGGTCTAGCAGGGGCCTCTCGCGGCGGTCGCCGGGGCGGCCCTCGCAGTGGTCGTGGAAACGGTCGTGGTCGTGGCAAGCTCTGGGTTCCTTGAAGAACGCGGGGGGCTCGTCAGTGCGGAAGCAATTGATGAGCCAATCTATTGCCGAATGCTTTTCTCCTTCGTCTTTTCTCTTTCCCGGGAGCTGGAAACAACTGTCGTTGCTATTCGCCGCAGAAAAAGTATCGAAAATCTCCGTCTTGCGATCCGTTATGCTAGGGCTGCAACTGAATCCGATCTGTCAACCGATGATAGTATGGAGTTCCCTCTCTGAATGGAACAATATGTGACTCTAGACAGATGGACGCGATCAGATACGGCGCAGTCAAAAAGGACATTGGCCAGTTTCCCACGGAGTAGTATGAGGATCATAAAATACGTTTGACAGGGATCATCAAAGGAACAAGGCTGGAACCATGCCTAATTATTTACGGACAAGTGTCTCCGGCCGGATTTGTTGTTGCTTTCATTGTCCGCTTTCGTGGGATAATCAGAAATCAGCACGTTTTTTTTTGGGGGGGGAATCACCTACTTACGGAGTATTGCTCTGCTACTGTTGGAAGGGACTTGCTCTAGTCTCGCTTTTTATGTCTACACTGCAGTTTGCATTTACAGTTTACAGTTTTACGCATAAGTCTACAAAAAAATATCTAGAAAAAGTTGAGGGGTAGATGAGGGTTATCATGGTGGCAGTCTTTCGTTTCATTGCTATTTGCTATTACTCGTTTCTGCTTAATCGCTCGTTTTGTATTGGTTTTAGACGAATTGGGCCCATCAGATAAGCTAAAATGTCAAGGGGGTAAACTAAGGGTCAATAGTATGTTTCATTCAACACCGTCCACTAAAATCAACCCAAATCAATGACGCTTCTTGCCTCACGGGAAGCCTCCCCGGGGCTGTTTGATGTATGATTATTGATCGGCTGCCACCTCCGCATTTCACCTGACCTCATCATCGACATCATTGGTTTCTGTGTTCCCGACTCTGACACTTCACCTCCTGATCTCCTGTTATTTCCTCCTGATAATCTTCATCTAACCTGATACATGCACGGACGTTGCTTGTGTATATAAGCATCACGCTACCCTGTGAATATCACATACATCCACACATACATACTCTCTTATCTCCTCTACATACCACTTCTCCATACCGCCATACTACGAAACAAAGACAATCCAGCAAAATGACCGACATCGACCAAACCTCTCTCGCTGCCTCCTCCATCGAGCGCCGCAACTCCCTCGAAAAGCATCTCCAGCACCGTCCTGACCCCGAGGATCTGCGCAACAGACATATCCTTGTTGATACGAATATGGCTCCGTATGCCGTTGCCCTTCGGATTAGTTAATAATATTGTATAGGGGTGGTGTGCTGATAATGAATGTGAATGTGCAGGTCTTCGGAAACGGCTTTTCCGGGTACACTCGAGCGTCGACGGACTTCGGATAGTTTGCAAAGACATCTTGAGCAGAGGCCTGAGAGGGAGGAGTTGGTTGAGCGTGTGTTTCCTTTTCCTTTATTCTATCACCTTATAAATAATGGGTGTGGTGCTAATGACGAGGTGGGTAGGAAACATCCTCCCCTCCGTGAACGCAGCACCGGCCATCCAAGCCCAAGCGCGCGAGTTACAGAAACACATGCGTGCGGATAGTCTCGAGCAGAAGATTCAACATCGCCCGCAGCCGGAGATGCTTATTGCGCAGGGGATTCTGGAGGAGAGTGAGGATCCTAGGAGCCCTACTAATTAAGCCCCTATCTTGTGTCCCTGCGTACTCCGTATGGATGGGATTGGCAATGTTCATGACTTATGATTGATTTTTTCTGGTTTGCTTTGTTTCATGCGTTAGGTAGATTGTTAAATACGACATTTGAAGAGGTTAATAGCTCTCCACGTCAACCGCATGCGACAAATCTGGCATCCATCCAGCTGGTCGCTCACTTCCACGGACCAGAATCCCATAAGCGGCTTTCTCGACCTTCTCCACACTAGTCTGCATAACTTCCATCTTCTTCCCCAAATCACGGAGCATATGATACCGCCGCGGCACACTAAGCATCTCAAACAGCGCCCGCATAGCCCGTAGGTCAACCACAAGCCCCGCCTGCGACTCAGGAAGCATTCTCAATTCACCCTCCCCACTCTCTTTCTCCTCCCCCTTCTCCTCTTTCTTCTGATCCTTCTGCGAAGAAGCAGCCCCCGATGACAACCCCGTAACCGCAAACCTCATGATCTCTCCCGTCAAATCAAACAACCCCATGAGATAATCCTCCTCGGTAACAAGCACTTCCCTCGGCAATTTCGCCTGTACCTCCTCCTTCGTAATCAATTCCTGCGTCAGAATGTAGTGGTGGAAGGACAATGCTTCGATGAATTCCTGGATGCCGGGGCTGATGTTGCGTTGGTAGCGCCAGGTGTTTACGGCGGTGAGGTCGGGGGTTAGGGAGGTAAAGAGGGTGTGGATTTGGGTGAAGCGGGTGGTTGTTTCTTTGGCGATGGTGGGGGGGAGGGGGGATTTTATGGTGCGGGTTCTGTTTTTTATTTGTTAGTATTTGGTTATGGGGTTTGAGGATACTGGGGAGGGTGGTTGGCGGACCGCTGTAATGAGAAGATACTAGACGCCATTAGCACACACTGATAGTCATAGGGGAAGGGAGGGGAACAAACATCTTCTTACTCAATGCCGTAATATCCCTCGACGCCTTGATAATTCTCTCTCTTCGATCATGATGCTCGTCCAACTCATCGCGAAACGTCCCGAAGATTGAGAGCACTTTGCTCGATGGCTCGTCCATTGCTGCGTTCGCGTTTGCGTCTGCGTCTGCGTTTTTGTTGTTGTTGTTCATTGTGGTGTTGGGTTTTGTATTGTCAACGAGGGGATTTCCTTCCCAGGAGCGTTTTATTCCAGTCATGTCACGGTGAATGGTGGGAGTAGTGTGAATATGTGAATACTGCGCGATGTCGCCGGATCGTCATTCTTGCGCGCGGGGCTAACCACTTCGGGGTGATTATCTGATAAGATAGGAGTTGGATGGTGTGGTGGGCAGATTTTCATATTGATGAGTTAGGATAGCTGGGCTCATGATACACTACTGTCCCAGATATTTATACTTCAAAGAGTCACCCTTCAATCCCATGATGGTGGCAAACTGCTCATCCCCCGGCATAATATCCATGGCACTATCACTAACCTTGATGCCGTCTCGCTCTTCAAAAACCAAGCACTTGACAGGCGCCCGCGTGCTGACCCGCAGTGACTGCAGATCGTCGGATTCAAAGTCCCTTTGAATGTTGAGTCCCCGCTCCGACAGGTCCAGGTATTTGAATGGCTGCGGCCAGTCCACATCCCGTGCTGCGACTTCGTTATCCACCCAGAGACGTGCGGCAAGGACATGTGGTTCTGAGTATACCGTGTAATCGATAATGTCGTCCACGATAATATCAGTAGTTCCGTTTGCTTGTATACGGACATCATTCCAAACTCTCTGTTCACGAACCTCAAGCCCCGTCTGCACATAAATGAACCGCAATTCCACCTTGCCAGAAACCTCCTTCAGCAGACTGCTTGCTATCCAGAGGCTGTATTTGCTCGTCTTCGGTGATTCCGCATGAGTAACGCTCCAATCATAATGTTCTCTCTGTACCCCAATAGCAAGTGGCTTCAATACTCGTGCAACTGCATAGAACGCCGGCTTGGGACGCAGATAGTAATCCACGATAGCCCAGGAAATTCCAGGCCAGCAGTCGTTCATCTGCCAGAGCAGGGATCCTCCGCAGCGTCGGTCATCTCCCCATTGGCGGCGCCAGCTGCGATATCCGTACATCATTGCTTCGGCTTGGACTACCTGCGTGATGTAGATGTATGTCTATTTTGGTTAGAGAGTGATATAATCTGAAATAGGGACTGACGTACCTCCAAGTCAGTGGTCATTCTCACGTTTTCAATGAGATAAGTAGCAATCCTTCGCTCGTGGCCGTCGGCTTTGTTATGGAAGTCGATAATGTGAGACTAGGGGTATTTGTCGGCCTCGTTTTCGATGAATGACCCAATAGTTTGCATGTGCGAGAAAGCTTCCATTCCGAATTCACTATTGAATCGGCCTCCGAGGACTTCATAGACTTGGTATTTTTCTTGTTTTCCATGCCACACTACATTCTTAGCAGACATCACTTATTTCAACAGTATGATAACTTACCGTTCCATTGATGCAAGTCACCAACAGTCGGATCAGACGTTATCTTCCCGTCACCCCAAGGACTCCCAGGATGATAGAAAGTATCCGGAGCCAGCTCTTTAACAACCTCCGGCAGAAGCTTTTCGTAAATATATCGAGCCGGAAAATCCGTCTTCAGCCAATTCTCCGGATTCTTATCCTCAAAGTTGTATGTAAGTCCATTTTGCTCCTGGACTTGATAGTCTTCGTTATTCCCGACATAAATTACTATCGAAGGGTGATGACGCAGTCTGGAGACGTTGTAGACTGCTTCTCTTCGGATTGATTCAAGTAACTCAGGCCAGGTTGGGTAGTTTCCGCAGGCGAACATGAAATCTTGCCAGACCATTACTCCGAGTTCGTCGCAGGCCGAGTAGAAGCTGTCATCTTCGTAGATTCCGCCGCCCCAGACTCTATACAATATCAGTGACAGGTCTCCAATGAAGTGGAAGCAGCAGGGGCATACCTAGTCATCACTTGACGGCCAGTAACCATCAACTCAGCCCATTTTTGATATCGTTCTGGGGTGATATTAGGGAGAATGCTGTCGGCGGGAATCCAGCAAGAACCACCGCAGAAGATATCGACCCCATTAATTCGGAAGAAGAAGGATTTCCCATGTTTGTCAGGTTGTTGGACAACTTCTGCTGTACGGATTCCGATTTTCTTCGAAGCATGGTGAAGTTCTTTGTGTCCATCTGCCAATGATGCTGACAACTCGTAGAGTGTTGGATCGCCGTATCCATGGGGCCACCATAGAGAAGGGTTCTTGATCTTGAACGTCACTTTGGCAGTACCGCCCTCGCCCACAGTAGACTGCTCAGACGCAACCTCTCGCCCCCGTAAACTTAGCGTGCATTTTGCCTTGTGCGAGCCAGCTGCACCGTCTACCTCCACGAAAGCAGAAACAGTGGCCTCTTGGTGATCCCCCGTTAACTGCACTTCCATCCACAAATCCGCAATTCGCGTAGTGTAAACCTCAAGCCTCACATCTCTCCAGATTCCCGCAGTCATCAAGGTTGGGCCCCAATCCCAGCCCCAGTGGTACTGGGCTTTCCTGACACTCATCCTAGCCGGGTCTCCATTAAACGAAGCCCACTTGTGCTTGGGATCTTGGTCACGAAGCTCTTGAGCTCGCAACATAGCACAATCAAAGTCGATCTCCAGGATATGCTCGCCGTCTGCTTCCAAAGCTTTGGTGACATCCACCCTGTGGGCGAGGAACATGTTGTTGCTTTCCAGGATAATGTTACCATCGAGCTTTACCTTGGCGAATGTGTCTAGGCCGTCAAACGCTAGGACGATTATTGAGCCAGGGGCTACTTCTGGCTTCTGGAAGACGTTCCGGTATGTCCATGATTTCTCATTTACCCATTTGGAATTTAGTTCGTTGAAGCCGATGAATGGGTCTTTAAGTCTAGGAACCTGTCAGAATATATATTGAAGTGATGGGTTTAGTAAATACTTTTTGTTGGCTAGTAAATCCTGATGGACTACAGAGGGGATTGCTGGAACTGACATCCATGAGTTTCCCGACTCATCTTGGCCATCTTTGAAGCTCCATCCATTGGATAGAGAATGTTGGTTGAGTCTTGACATTTTGCGGGGTTGTCCGGAGTTGAGATTGAATCAAAAGACTGGATGATAGTCAGTTTTCATGTAACAACAACGAAGTATATCAAGGATGCTGCTGTCAGACATTGAGCTTGTCACTTCCATTGCAGCTGTATTCCATTCACTGCAGAGGGAGATGAGGAGTATTGTTCACGTGCCAACAATTCCTATTCGGGTAGTGTACTTCGGGGAGCGAGCCATTCCCAATGCAGCTAACTCTATCGACACAAGATCTTAAGAACATGGAGTACTCGCGGTAAAATAGAAGACACAAGAGATATCAGAGCAGTCTTTAGAATCACCCTAGTCCTTTACCATTCCTCCTTCCCTCTCTCGACTCAAATCAATGGGAATCGAGATCTGCTGACTCATCATGATCGGCGATGCCAACATCAACATCCGAAAAGACAGCAGACACCAACAATTCATCATCTGGAATATCATTCGGAGAATTAAAATATATAAGGTGCGCATAACCCCCAATCTATTTGAACATAAAATTAACCCATAGCCAGGTCACCTCACAACTCCATCTCCATTGCAATTGAGACATTATCTCAACCGGAGTTGACATACCACGAACAGGAGAACATTTAATATCCAGACGAAGCCAGCCCTCGGCAAAGAATGTCATGGCAGTCTCAATTTTCACCTCCCCACCCCTTATAATAACCCTCTCTCTAGCCCTCCGCGTCACCCTCCTAATCTATGGCTCCTGGCAAGACGCCGTCTCCCCCGTCAAATACACAGACATCGACTACCTAGTCTTCACCGATGCTGCACGCTACGTCTCTCAGGGTCTATCACCCTACTCCCGCGATACCTACCGCTACACACCACTCCTGGCATGGCTCCTCGTCCCCACTACCTGGAACGTAGCCGGATTTTCGCTGTTCTCATTCGGGAAGGTCCTGTTTGCTGCTGCGGATGTGGTGGCCGGATGGTTGGTTGCCAAGTGTTTAAGGACGCATTATGGGATGGATACCGGGAGGGCGATGAAGTTTGCGTGTGTGTGGTTGTTGAATCCTATGGTTGCGAATATTAGTACCAGGGGGAGTTCGGAGGGGTTGTTGGGGGTTCTTGTTGCGGGGGTTTTGTGGGCTGCGTTGAGTAGGAGGGTTGTGGTTGCGGGGATGTTGTTGGGGCTGGGGGTGCATTTTAAGATTTATCCATTTGTTTATGGGGTGTCGATTCTGTGGTGGCTGGGCGCCTCCACGTCCTCCAAGGACAGCGACAAAGACAAGGGCAGCAATGGCAAAGAGAAAACGATACCACAGTCCATCACCGGCTTCATCACCCCATCCCGCATCCTCCTAACCCTCACGGCCCTGACAACCTTCCTTGCCCTAAACATAACCATGTACACCCTCTACGGCAACCCCTTCCTCCAACACACCTATCTCCACCACCTCACCCGCATAGACCACCGCCACAACTTCTCACCCTACAGCACGCTGCTCTATCTCGCCTCCGTGGACGGCGGAAACGGGTACGGGTATAGATTCGAGTCGTTGGCGTTTATCCCGCAGATTCTGCTTTCAGTGGTTGTGATTCCGGTGGTGCTGGCGAAGAGGGATTTGGCGGGGGCCATGCTTGCACAGACATTTGCATTTGTGGGGTTTAACAAGGTTTGTACGAGTCAGGTATGTTTCGTTTTTTCTTTGTCTGTTTCATGGTGGTGATTTGGAGGGGTGCTAAGTTAGTAGTATTTCCTGTGGTACCTTATCTTCCTCCCGTTCTACCTACCAAACTCGTCTCTGTTGAAGAAACCCCAACTGGGGCTGTTAGTTGCTGCGTTATGGGTTATTGCTCAGGTATGTCTATCTATCTTGGTATTCTCTAATTCGTACATAGCTAATTGTTTGACGCAGGCACTCTGGCTCCACCAAGGTTTTCGTCTCGAATTCCTCGGGATATCGAGTTTCGTGCCAGGGTTATTTTTAGCAGGCTTGTTTTTCTACGTCGTTAACTGCTGGATTCTAGGAATCCTGATCCAGGATGCTGGGGGACTATCGGCGCAAGAGCAGGTTGCGAAATAGCATCCTACCACCAATCATTGCGCACTTCAATGGGACATACAGATGCAGAAGTAATGAAACTTTTGTCCATTATGCTACCCCATAAACTAGTAAACCATCCCAGAACCTATCAAGTAGACGCCATATTATAATCCCTGCAAATAAATCCAGACAAATTGTGCATCATAAATGGAGTCGATAAATTCAATAAAATAAAACCCTCTTTGCAAACCATGCAATTAAGTCAAATAAGCCAAGGGGATCCAGTCCCTGTGTGGAAAATTGCACCAGAAATAAAAACGTGAACCAGTCACCGTAGATGTGGATGCAATGCCAAAGACAACAAAACGAGAGATGAGAGTATTTGCTTGGGACTCCTTTCGTGAAAGATCACCAAGCTTGACTCTGACAAATGGCAATGTCTGCTCTTGTCGAAAGATAACAAATGAGAGACCCAGGGTATTGTACTCAAAACGTATAGAGATGATTAGGAATAAGGATGTCAAGGTATGGCGATTAAAAATGCCCACCCTGATCAGTCAGGTGAGAAGATGCAGTGCTAAAATTTAGTTGCATCGGCTATAATTCGATAGTTGGCAGCATAAATCGCAGACGGTCTGGCCCGTGGAAACACTGCTCCAACAATTTGGTGGTTAGGTCCGTATTGCGGGTAAATGCCCTCTGTAAGCTCAATATAACGGGCTTGTGGACGACTTTCTGCAAGATTTTCTAGGATGCGATCGCTCCAGATACCAGTGCATTGGTTGTTGACTAGTTGAAAGTAAGGGTTAAGAAGTGGACAGGCGGAGTCCAAATCGATGAAACGGATACGGACGTATTCCAGAGATCGATGCGCACCGAGAGAGCTGGCACCAGCAGCGACAAGTTTCTCAAAGGAACGGACGAAGTTAATGTTTGTGATACCAGATACCTCATCAAAGAAGGGAAACGCAGGTTGTAATCGCCGGTCTCGACAGCAAGACTTGACTACCAGATCCAGGGACTTGAGCCTGGACATGGAAGCACGATTCGCAAAGTTTGCCATGCCGTGGAAAAAGCAGTGGCAGATCTTGCCGGTAAATGTGAGAGACTCGAGCCGGGGAGCAACTTCGCCGAGCAAATTGCAGAGATGTGGCGGGTTCATTTCATCACCGGGCCAGAGGTTATGCACATGGCCTTTGTTGTAAAAACCATCCAGGCTAATATTCGCATGCGCAAGCGTCGTAGGCAGCTGAATCAGAATCCCAGCAATCGTCTCGTAGGCTTCAATCTTAGGCTTCGCGTATGCGCAGTCCCATTCCCGGATTGATGGCAGAGCTTCGGCCATATTTTTCCAGTGCTGATAATCCCGCATAATATTCCAGGCACCACGCATAACGAAAGTCTGTATGTTCGGGAGGACGGCAAGAGACTGAGTATTCGACCAACCGTAGGGGTCGTTATTGAAATGTCGAATTAACGGTGGCTTTTTGCAATGGCCTCCTTCGAGTGTTAACATACGCGCCTCGGGGAAGTGAGTTTGGACGTGGAGAAAGATATCCTCCAGTGAAGCGTTTTGACTGGCGCCATAGAAATTGCAATGGTTCATCGGGTAGGAATCGGAGTCATCTTCCCAGGCCATTGTCGCCTGGAGAAGAGCCGCGACACCCTCCAAGCCCTCGTCATTATTGTTATGGTGCTGATGATGGTGATGATGATGGTGGTGGTGGTGGTGGTGGTGCCGGCGAGCGGGTGGATGAACTGAGCTATGTTTCGGTACCCGATTCCCCCAAACCGGAACCCATACCTCGATATGACGGACATGCGCGGCGAGATGAGGGTTGTTTTCGAACCAACTTGCACAGTCGGTCAACCCACTATTGGTACCCTTGACTTTGACTATTGTACGCGATCATGCACGTCAGAAAGCTCAAGCGAACAAATGGACGACACACTTACTATGCCTGTAGATACGAGCCTGGACAAGAGGCCTCCAAACCGGCGATATCAGAGAAAGATTAGATAAGACCTTCCGTCGAGGATGTCGCAGGGCTTTTGTCCAGCTGCGCGCAGCAGATTTTCCATGGGTTACTGTTGCTGATGCTGGCGCCCGTTCACCAAATAAACAATCGAGAATCGCCTCATGTATTTCAATGGGAAGGTTGTCAAAACAAGCCTCAGACCGATAAGATGGAGGGTCGTCCAAGCGGGTATGCGTATCGTTATCGTTCATCTCGGTATCCACGGGGGACTGGCAGTCTGCAGACGCAGGGGCCGAGGTCGGAGCAGCGGAGTCATCGTGGATCTGGATCTCCGCACTAGTGCTTCGACCAGTCTTCTGATATGATAAGGAAGAGGAAAGAGGGCTCGCCAATGAATTGACCGAGACGGGACGAGGAGGGATGGTCGTTAACATGGGGGGCGATGAGGACGAAGATGGGATTTCCGACGACAGCCAGAGCGAGATAGTGAAGAATTGGTCGGAAGAAGCGGATGTACGTAGGGAGGAAGCGTATGTTTCGGACAAGCGGCGGGTGGTCGACGGTCTTTTCTTTTTCTTTTTCTTTTTCTTTTTTTTTTTTTTAAAAAAAAAAAAAAAAAAAATGAAATGAAAAAAAGACGAAAACCTGCAGATGCACATATGTCAGTCAGCCAGGCAAATTCAGGCAAAGGCAATCGAGCGATCAGCGATATCATGTGAGACGTACTAAAGAGAAGCGTGGTCCGTCCGGGTTGGTCCGTCGTATGGGTTTCGAAGGGAGGAGAGCGAGAGAGGACGGAGAAATCAGCCGATTTTAAGAGCGATTGCGAGAAAAGACGAAGAAATCCAGCGAGAGATAAGCACAGTCAACCTCATCGAAAGCAACGGTCGCCAGCGTGGTGCATGTTGTGTTGGTAGATATGTTGGTAGTGGCTGTGGGTGTGTACCAGAAAAGAGGGGTTCCCAGGAAAATCAGGCAGGGTCGGGCACAAGAAGAGGAGAAACTATCAAGAACCGTGGAAGAAGATGAAGTTAATAAAGAGAGAGAGACACACAGGGGGGGGAGGGAGAGGGAGAGAGAAAAGAGAAGAAAAGTTAAGAGACGAAAGAGAGAAGAGTAGAAGGGGAGAAAAAGAGAAAGGGAGATGGCAGGAGAAGGAGGCTGAGATTCTGAGACAGGTGACCTTCAGATAGTAACAATAAGAAGCAGCGTTATAGATTATAAGATGGATCGTAGTTTATTTGCAACTGACCCGCATTCCGTTAAGTTATTTTGCTTTCCTTTAATGCCCTTTTCTCGATCCGAGGCGATCCGTCGCAGTGTCCACTTTTGGCGATCTTGTATACATCCACGGCTCTTCGCTCGCTGTATACACGATCACGTGCTCATCATATTATAATATTTCTGTTTGCTCTTAGTATCCTTAGAGAAGTCAATGGAAATGCTGGATAATATATTAATTCCTGGCCTGCTTGGATAATCCCTCAATAGTAATACAGCAAGAAGTGTGATAAAAGCTACCTCCGCCGACGGAACCGAAATCGCAACTCATCTTCACTATCAGAATCGCGCACTTCCCTCGGGCGCTTCTGGCTCCGATTCCGACTTTTGTTTTGGCTGGACGCTTCTGATTCAACGCGGAAGACTGACGCAGGCGGCGCTGTAGAACCACCAAACGTACCATCTTCCTCAACATCAGCGCCATCATTCGCATGGTGTTGCTCCCGAGGATGGCTAACTGCAGGACTATCTGTGCGCGATTCATAGCTTCCGGCCCAATAATGACTGCCGATGCCATAGTCCTTCCGTGTCACTTCCACCAGTGGCACAATCACCCTCTGCACGCGAGTGCTAGCATACCGGGGTTCACCCTTGCGTCGAAACTTCTTGAAGTTCTTTCGCCCATTCCATCGCTCGTCCCACCGTTCTTCACGCGTTTCATGCGGCTTTCGAAGCGGCACATCCCATTCCTCCACGATTGCAAGGCCCTTGAGCTTCTCAACGGGCGTGTCGTTGAGATCGTCTCGCCGGGTTTCTTCCTCCTCTTGACGCCGCTGGGCATTATCTTCCGCTTCCCGGTGTTTTCGAGCGGCTTCTAGAATGTCCAATTTTTGGCGCTTCGGCTTGCGTTCGGCTTCTTCCTTAGGCTGTGCATCTGGACTTGCACGGCGGCGCGGGCCTGTTTCTGCACGACGGCGCTTCATCGCATTTGCACCAGGCAATAGGCCGGTCATGACATCCTCTTCTTCTTCTTCTGCATCTTCTTCCACACTTTTTAACAGGCTCGGTCGCTGTGACGGTTGCTGAGATTTTTGTGAGGGTTTCCGTGATAGTTGCTGGGATGGCGACTCTGACAACTGTTCTAGATCGATCGCAGAAGGCAAACTTGATTCCGCGCCTCCCTCTTCAGGAACATAGGCCGGAATAGAAGCCAAATCGAAACCATCGTCAAAGTTTTTCATCTTGCTGACGAAGCCGCGAACGCGTGATTCCTTCGATCGAGAAGGTTGGCTGTTGGGAGCCTGTGAAACATTTTCGGAGGTTTGGGAGACTGGGGGAGGCTCGACATTTTCGCGGGGAGTAGGTGCAAGTTGAAAAGAAATAGGTTTTGGCTGAGATTCGGGAACCACTTCTGGACCCGTCTCTGGGCCAGAGTCTGGGGCTGGTGGAAGCGAGCGACACAGAGAGGAAGCATCATTTGCCAGAATGGCATCGAGGAACTCGCTCTGCTGGATAACGCGCTGATCAGTCATGACAGCAACCTGATTACCTAGCTCAATTGACCAATTCTCATACTGCCCTTGGGAGCGAAAGCGGACGAGCACCACTCCGCCAGAGCCTTCTCTCTCTTCACCCAGGCCTTTAGTACCAGCTGCATTTCTCATAAACTGCACGAGTTCTTCTGCCATAGTGACACCAGGGTCTACCTGATAGATCAACGCCTTTCCGTGTCCATTATTGATTGGGTCGACCAGATTTTGATATTGAGTAACATCACCAAAAACGAACGTATATCCATCGAAGATGTTGATCCTATCAGGATTCGGGGCGAACGATTCAGGAGGTCTCTGCATAGGTTCCTTTCCCGGCGGCGGAAGATGCAAGCTTGGATCAGGCCATGTCGTATCAAAGTCGGCTTCCAATGGGGACAGGGACTCCAGGTTCTCCAAGTCGCTTGGGGTGGCCGCGTAGACGAGTGCATCGACATAAGACTGATCCACGATATATTTTCCATTCACCAAAGCCTGTAAACCTTTTGCAGTATTTCGCTTGCTCTGAACAACGTGTGTAGTCTGGTCGACGACATACGGGATGATCGTTTTTATATCCAAATCTTCGAGGCGCGAGCGGACATGCGCCAGAGGGTCTTTCGCTTTGAGTTCTTTCGTGGAGAACGAGAAACTGAGGACGGTCGGCTGCCACTTGATCCTGGATAGAAATCACGCTTAGCCTGAATTCCGGAAGCTGTTAAGAGCAAAAGACCTACCGTAGCGCAGGCTTGTATTTGCCCAGCTTGACAGAATGCTCCACGCCCGTCAGTTTCTTGCTTGTGCCCTTGATCTGCTCGCCGTCTACCGTGGTCCCGAGTTTCGATTTCTCATCGCTAACGGTAATCTCCGATCTAGTATATATATGAGACTGATAGAATCAGCAAACGCATCGGCGCATTCAGTATGAGGACTTCTTACCCCATCGCCAGGCTGCACTGGTGATACCGAGATCACCATGTGCTTTCGCGATATTGAGTTATGCTGAATCACATGTCGAACTGCAAGAAAGAGCACATCAACATCAGCATGCAGCTCTTAAGCATGTAACAATTGATGAATGTAGCTTACCACCCTCTTGCTTAACCCGACCGAAAAGATACTGTTTCCCCGGCCGCAACCACACCCGCTTCCCTTAGCCAAGCGCGAATCATCAGTACCCTCGTACTGCCGACAATAATACATAAGATAACTCACCTCCCAGTAAATCACCCTCCGAATCAAGAATCCACATCAGTGTCAGCGGTGATGCGCCAAAGTTGCAGCTGGTTCGGCGAAGCGGCCAATTCAGCGCCACGTGAAACACGGCCTGCAACGCGTAGTCACATGATCAGGCGTATCAATAGATGCCTGCTTCGGCAATGATCGCGACGCCGGTCAACGAGCGTTGAACGGATAAGATGGAGCCCCAGGGCGAAGATTCCGTAGAGAAGGAAAAGGGGAATGAGAAGGAGGAAGAGCATTTGGAGATAACTGAAGATGAAACTCTGAAGTATCACTTATTGGGCCCGTCATTGACCAAAGCCGGTCAAGATGCGGTTGACCAGCGCAAGGTGAGCAAGCATCATCCTTGAACTTGTATTTCCTTGCTAAAGCAATAAATAATAAGGTATCGGAGATTATATACAATGCGTCAAAAGGCTCGAAGTTCTTCAACCATGAGCAGAACCGTGACCATGTTCTGACGACGAAAATTGAGCGTATCTTGAAAGAGAAGGCCCGTCTAGAAAAGCAAGATTTATCTTGGGACTTCCGCAAAGCAGACGAATTATTTGCGGAACTAGAACTCACGCGAGATTTGTCACAGTACGTGGTACATGTTGACTGTGACGCATTCTTCGCTGCGGTCGAGGAGCTTGACCGGCCCGAACTAAAGACGGTACCTATGGCCGTTGGTAAAGGCGTCCTAACCACTTGCAACTACGAGGCGAGAAAATATGGATGTCGCAGTGGCATGGCGTCATTTGTAGCCATGAAACTCTGTCCTCAGCTGGTCTGCTTGCCCCAGAACTATGAGAAATACACTGCCAAAGCGAAAGAGATCCGGGCCATCATGGCCCAGTACGATCCTCTTTTCGAAAGCGCCAGTATAGATGAGGCATACCTTAATATCACATCTTACTGCGTGGAGAACCAGGTCGACCCAGAAGAAGCAGTTCGACGCATGCGAGAAGAGATTCTAGAGAAGACCCTTGTCTCCGTCTCTGCTGGCATAGGGCCAAACGCCAAAATTGCCAAGATTGCGTCCAACCGCAACAAACCAAATGGCCAGTTCCGTATTTCCAATGACAGAGACGCCGTGTTAGATTTTATGAAAGACCTTCCCGTCCGCAAAGTGAACGGTGTCGGCCGGGTGTTTGAACGAGAACTCGACTCGATTGGAGTCAAGTCGTGCGGCGATATATACCCGCAACGGGGCTTCTTGGCCAAACTTTTTGGAGAAAAGGCTTTTCAGTTCCTGGCACAGTGCTACCTAGGCCTAGGGAGGACCAAGATCCAGCCAGTTGAAACCTATGAGCGCAAGAGCGTCGGCACGGAGACCACTTTTCAGGAAATTGGGGACAAGCAAGAACTCAGGGGCAAGCTGTGGTGGGCCGCACAGGAACTTGAAAAGGATCTGGCTCGTACTGAATTCAAAGGCCGGACTCTAGTATTGAAAGTCAAGCTGCATTCATTTGAAGTGCTGACTCGCCAGACCGCACCACCTAGGGCAGTATCAGTTGCGAAAGATCTGTATGCGTTTTCGCTACCTATGCTGAGTAAATTGGAGAAAGATATCCCGAATATGAGGCTTCGACTACTTGGCCTTCGTTGTACTAATTTGGTGAGCACCAAAAAAATTGGCATTGAGTTCTTTGGAATTACCTCTCGATCCAAACCTGCGACAGAGCCAACACCAAATGCCAACGCAGAGCAAGAACCCGACACAGAGGAAGCTTTTGAGCAAGCTGCACGTCAAGAATATCAAGATGAAATGGATCATCTAGAACAGCTCAGCCAAGAGGTCCCCGACTACAAGGAACTGGACAACCCTGAGGGCAATAACGTGGACAAGCCAACCGAACCGTCTACATTCGATATTATATACTGGGATTGTCCCATCTGCTGCAGACCACAATCGGCTGATGATAAAATCTTCAATGATCATGTCGACTTTTGTCTCTCAAAAGACACCATCAAGGAGGCTGTCCACGACGTTTCTCAGATTTCGCCAATGCCTTCAGGCCGAAAGAGGAAAACAACATCCCCTCATGATCCGAAGCAGAAACGGCTCTTTTTTACGTGATGATCTTGGCCGAGAATATCTCTACTCCTACGAGACCGTACAGATCTGGGGCTATAAGGGCAACAGGATTGCTCCAAACAACACGAGTCATGCTCGTTTAACGAACATCCAGTACCGAGAAACTCAAACATCAGGCCACAATCCGGGCTTCAAAAAAAGGCCAAGTATACCAAGCATTCTGCGGAGTAACAGACGTTGTCACGCATAATTGTCAGGACACCATTGTCCTAACTATGAATTTCCAATCTCGTGAAGAATGAATGTCTGGTCCGCTGTGTTATGAACCAGGGATGAATACCCGCCATAATCCGGGTCGCCCCATGTGACCGGCCTGGACTCCATAGAAAACTCCATAGACACATAATAATAGCCATCAATCTAAGTAAAATGAATGTCCCTGACACTACGCTCTATCAGTACAAGCATCGTTCTAATTATGTTGGCTCTTAACCCGAGGCAATGGCGGTGAAAACGGGGGTGGCTGGCACTAGACCGTTTTCGGCGGGGATGGGATTTTCCCCATGACTGACTGTTGTTGGCATCAAACTTTCTCTTCCCTTCACCATCATCCTCCCCTCTCAGGGTACCTGACTACTGATCAGTACCTGACAGAGAATATTGGCGTGTCTGTGGCGGATGCCTCCATCATGCTTGCAGATCGTCGTCGAGCCTCGCAATGCCATAAGTTCGCCGTCCTTTCCGCCCCTCGAAATCCACAACTATGACCTCCGATAAACAAAACCCCGGCCATATCGCCAAACCCTTTACCCCGGCTCTTAGCGCTGCCTTTCACCGATCGAATAATAAATCGCCGTTAACTCCTAGGCTCGCTACCCCGGGAGGTTACCGGACGCCCCGACGAGTCGCGCAATCCGAACACCCTGCGTCAGCTAACACCACCCCCTCCAAGGACGATTATCGTTCTAGCGCCAGTTATCTCAGCACGAATGTGACTCCTCGAACAAATTCTCGAACATCTAGACGAGATGGACCTGTATCATCGCCCACGAGTACCACGTCGGGGATTCCATCGGCACCGCATACCCCTAACTCTCAGTCCATGGTGACCCCTGGATCGCAGAACGGAGCGCATTATCGGACAGAACGAAGTCCGGTTCGCGGTGGACCGAAGCTGGAAGCTCCGCGGACCAGCAGGGCTAGGACCCTGACCGCGGAAAGCCATCACTCTGCGCGTCCGATGTCCTCTCCTGATATGTCGTCATCAGGATCGCCGATGTTCTTTCATGCCTCCGATGCCAGGTCGTCCAACACCCCCGAACCGGAGCCTCGACTCAAGCCGCCCGGGAAACCCTCCTCGCCAGCATCATTTGTCTATGCCAACGGGAAAAAAGATGAGCGTCGATCATCAGCAGATGAATCTCACCCCACAGCACCGACGATCAAACGTCGCTCGACAGGGTTGTCCCGGTCTGTGGTTGGGGGGAAACCTCCCACCACTAATTCCGCCTCTCCACGGTTGAAGACTGCAAAACTTGCAGCTGAACCTGCACCTCGACTATCGGATAGTGTGATATCCCAGTCGGGACCACCGCCCATTAATGATTCCACTGAATCTAGTTCACAGCGGCAGGCTTCGTTGCCAGCTATCGTTCCTGATCGACCACCACCCGTTCCCCTCTCCGTCGCACGCCATATCAAATCGTCAAGCTTAGATTCCGCAAGCAACAGTAATTCACCCAGAGAGGCACTCCGACCAAGTCCCATTATCGTGTCTCCTACGGATCCGCAAGTTGATGACAGTGCCGCGGCATCAGAGCCCATTCCAGGTCTACGACCTCGAATATTTAGCAATGGGTCTTCGGGCTCTGCAGACACGGCAAGTCCTGACAGAGATGCGAAGGAACAGGTAAACACGAACGATCCGGCTGCCAATGCTCGCGTTGAGCGCAAGATTATGGACCTAGAGATCAGCAACTCGTCCCTGCTTGCGATTAATCGTACCTTGGAGCGCGAAATGCGGAAGCAGAACGCAGAATTGCGGCGATACAGGCGTCTTAGTCGCGCAGGCCGTATCCCCGTTGGGTCATCTAGTCGTTCAGTTTCTGGGGCAGCGCTTTCGACAACCACTGAAACAGAAGAGGAAGGAATGAGCGAGATATCTTCGGTGCAGTCACATACAGAGTCATCTGATCAAGATGGCGATGGCGAAGATGAAGACGAAAACAAACACAAAGACGACGATGAGGACGAAGATGAGGACGAGGACGAAGACGAGGACGAGGAGGATGAAGATGATGAAGATTCCGCAGATGAGAGAGTTATGAGTCCCGGATCATTGGCGAAGCATGATGCCAAACATCGGGCACGAGACGAGAAACGAGTGTTTATTGATCTCGCCAAGCATCAAGAGTTATTGACTGATAGCCAGAAAATGAATCAAAGTCTCCGACGGTGTCTCGCATGGACGGAAGAACTGATCAAGGATGGTCAGAAAGCTTTGGAATACGACGTCCATGTCAATGATATCGAACTCGGTGGACGCGTGCTTGCCCCCGAAGAATTGCAAGACATTGGCGAAAGTGCCCGAGGATTATTATCGGCCTCGAATTTCAAAGATGATTATTCGTCTGTTACTGAATCTAGCGATCCGGATTCAGGCAACGAGACAGCTTGACTATCTACTGTTACTGTTGCTTCATCGTGCGTGTTTTTCGTGTATGCGATGCTTTCCAACTCCAGCGTGTGGACGGCAGGCCCAGTCTTTCACTTACTTCTACATACCCTTGCTTTGTTATTCCCCCTATGTTATCTTGACCCTCCCGATACCTCCAGCCATCCCGGTGATTGGCAATGAGGTCCACTCGGTTATTTCTTAATGTCTTTCTCTACCCTTTTATAAACTTATATATTTCGGGATCCTGTCTTTTGTTTTTGGCGTTCCACCTAGCGATTACCCCTTTGCACATCTGCTGCTATCTGCCCCTATCCATTTGATTGATAGATACCCGATGCGCGATAATACACTTTTTAGATCAGTCCGGTATGATCACGCTACCACTCGTATCGTCATATCGCCACGAGTGAACCATGGCTTCTTCCGTTCTCGACGTCAAGTCGTAAACGACGTTGGATATTGATACGTCCTGACGTCATGCATCTGTCAAGCCCCAGATCTATAAGAACCCTACATATCGGATCTAGATCCTTGTAAATAACCTCTACTCCATACCACCGCCTACAAAAAAAAAAAAAAAAAACCACAAAAACACCAAACAAGAAAACCCCACAACCGTCAAAATGCCCAGCAACAGCGGGAACCGTACGCCCTCCTCTCCTTCTCTCGCCCCCTTCCCCCCGCTCCCCTATCCAAAACTAACTCATCCCTCCCCCAACCAAACAGAAGGTTCAAACCCCTTGAACAACATCTCGGACCAATTCAACAAAGCCACTGGCAACGCCAAGGACACCTTAAACAACGCTACCGGCGGTCTCAGCGACAAGGCGAACAATGCTACCTCCGGCGGGCAGAATGTCTCGGATAAGTTTGGTAATGTGACCGGGAACTTGAGACAGCAGGCTAGGGATTTTATTGGGAACGTTACTGGGGGAAGCAAATAGGTGGTTAGCTTATATACAACATATGAGATGTGCATAGGAGCATTTGTGTTCTATCTCACAAGATACAATAATTGAATACCTTCGGATACTTAATAAATACCCAATTTGAGATATATTAATGACCAATGTGCTAACATGCTACTCGTAATATCTTGATATGCTCTTCATCATGCAATTGCAACTAACATTATCTAAGACTTTCTCATGTATTTTGGTCTTATGTACACAACCCTCTCCGATGTCACTGTACCAACACCCCCAACTAGACATGAATACAAAACCAAATCTCAAACCAAAGCCTGAAAAGCCTGCAAAAGATCCCCTTTCAAATCCTCCCAATTCTCCAATCCCACACTAATCCGCAACAACTTCCGGTCAACCCTCGAATCCGACAATGCCCGCCACTCGATCAACGACTCCACACCACCCAAACTAGTAGCATGATGGAAGAAATGCAGCTTACTAGGCAGCACATGCGCATACTCCTCACTAGTCAAGATAATAGCGAAAACAGGCCCGAAACCATTGGGCATTTGCTTCTTGATCCAGGGTTCGTCTTGTAAACTGGCGTGGTGGATTTTGCCGAGGACGGATTTGATGAGTTTTTGCTCGTCGCTTGGGGAGGGCGCTATTAATGCAGTTTGCAGCCAGGAGATTAGATGGGAAGCATTTTGACTAGCGCGTTGCACACGGACTTCCAGTGTGCGCAGGCTACGAGCACCAAGCCAGGCTTCTAGGTTGCCCATGACGTTGCCCAGGGCTAGACGGTCTTCGAGTAATTGCTTTGTCCAGTCTTTGCGCTTGGTTGCGAGGACGCCGCTGAGGAGGTCGCTGTGGCCGCCGAAGTACTTTGATCCTGAATGGAGGACGATGTCCGCGCCCCAGAGGAACGGGTCTTGCAGGCCTGGTGGGGCGAATGTACTGTCGACGATTAGATATGCACCGCGGGAATGCGCCTTCTGGGCAAATTCCTCGATACTGAATGCTGTTCCCAGGGGGTTGACGGGTGTTTCGAGGAGGATGACATCGCCAGCCTCAAGACTCCCAGCTGGGCAATCCAAGGGGAGATTTTGAAGTCCCGAGAGGCGGGAGAGGACTGCGATCACTTCATGACTGCCGTGGTACCCTTCGCCAACCGAGATGCGGCGGGGATTCAGCAGGACTAGGGCAGCGTGAAGAGCTGCGAGACCGGTGGTGTAGCTCACAGCTTGTCCACCGATGAGAGCGGAGAGGATAGCTTCGAAACGGGTTGCGTTGGGGGCGAATTCGCGCGAGTAGACGTAGTTGTGGCCGTCAAATTCGTCCTGAGTGAGTCAGCCAAGCCCCTGGAACTTGAGGGAGTGAGCATACCACTGGGTCGACTGAAGGAATCAAGTTCTCCGGCTCATTAGGAAATCGGAAGGTAGTCGACAAATGAATTGGAGGCGCAACGTCCGTAACCCGGTTCAATGAGTCATCCGCGTGCAACGCCTGGGTAGAAGGGTGTGACATTGTAAAGCAGCTAGAATAAGCCCTGAACAAGCTGAGCTTCAGTGTGATAGAGAAAAACTCTTCGTCTCAGCTCTCTGGCGTTTTTATATCTAATCGTTAAGATCCACTCCTGCCAACTTCCAAAACCAGAATTAAGCTCGTTTTAGTGCCTATTTGCCCCACTCTTATTAACTTCCTAATTGGGCATAATGCATGGTACTTTTCGTTTTGTATTGGTACGGACAGGACAACTTTGATTGGCTGTATGTCAGCTGATGGATAAGGCGATCGATAATTCGCCGATACCGAACCATACCAGAAATGGAGGAATGCGACGCTCTACGCCGATACATCGGCGGTTACTGCCAATCATATGGAATGTATATCATGTGCTGACCTGATGGTATGCAGGGCTGGGGCATAAATGATAAACACCGCAGCACAACCCCTCATCCTGGACTTCTTTCTACTCTAATACTTACCATCATCCATAATTTGACTCACAACAATGCATCTCCGCCCAGGACACGCAGAGGCAAGCATCCCAGTGCTACAACGGCTCATCAGGGAAAACCCTCTGGGAATCCTAACAACAGCCATCAAATCCCCCACATACCCTTTCCTCCAGTCCAGCCACATCCCCTTTCTCATCGACTTGCCTGACAACCCCTCAGACGAGAACCCAGGCACCCTCCGCGGCCATATCGCCAAACAAAACCCGCAAGCTAAAGCCCTGATTGACGCCCTCACAACAATCCAGTCCGAAAAAGGCGATGCCGAAGCCCTCGAACTCCCCGACGAAGTCCTCGTCCTCTTCAATGGCCCTCACCACCACTACGTAACCCCGAAATTCTACACAGAGACTAAACCTGCTACGGGAAAGGTCGTACCAACATGGAACTACTCCGCTGTGCAGGCCTACGGCAAGGTCAAGGTATACTGTGACTCGAAGTCCGATATCACGAGTGGGTTTTTGCAGAAGCAGATTGAGGATCTGTCGCAACATGCAGAGACGGGGATTATGGGGTATGCGTCGCCGTGGAAGGTGGCTGATGCGCCGGATAACTATGTGCAGTTGCTGAAGAAGAACATTATTGGGATTGAGATTCAGATTGAAAGATTGCAGGGCAAGTTTAAGATGAGTCAGGAGATGGGGAAGGGAGACCGGGAGGGTGTTATTGAGGGGTTTGAGAAGTTGGGAACGGCGACGGGTGAGGGAATTGCGAAGACTGTTCGTGAGAGATCGGAATAGGTCTGTTACTTGCCTCTGCGTTGTTTATGGGGAACCTGGTCACTGGCTTGTACTCGAATACTGCGTGGACCTGGATCTGCACTGTTGCAACATAGAGCAGAAAGAGGGCAGCCAGAAGCATAGACACTACCTCAAAATATCAATGTACACAAGGCCTTTACCAGAGACTAATGGAGCAATATATCAATTCATAGAGCTCAAAGAATGACTCAATCCTGACTAATCACGATAGCGATAAACTTAGTTACTCCGCAAAAATTGCGGCGATAACCATCCCCGTTCTCCCCACGCACCAACCATACCATGGCAAATCAGAACACAACAAACGCATAAAGCATGCAATGACCAACCCCTGCTATACATGTCGTCGCCGACACGTCCAATGCGATCGGTCCAAAGTCCCCTGCGCCAAATGCGAAAAAGCCGGCCTAGAATGCTTCGACAAGCGACCACTGCGATGGGTCAAGGGAATGGCGATCCGAGGCAATATGCAGGGTCTTTCAGTGGAGGATGCTTCGAAAGCTGTGAGCAGGGGTGATAGGGTTCCGGCGGGGTTAGAGGATACTGCCGTGGGGAGTTTGGATCGGACGTCGAGGTTTTATTTGGATTATTGTAGGTATTTTGCTTATGCTATTAATGGCTAAATGGCGAGTCTGACAGGAATGTGGAACTAGATAACGAACGCATCTGCAAGTTGTTTATCGTCTATGACAGCAATAAAAATCCTTTTCGGAGTTTAATTGCCTTGGCTATGAATGACAGGACCTTGCTCAAGGCTGTTCTGGCCCTGGCGGCACAGCACAAAGCCAACACGGGTTACTCTGATCAATCCGAACAACCATCTTCGAATCTTACGACCTCTCACCGGGACGCTCTAGCGTTTAAGCACCAGGCAATTCAGGGATTGTCCCAGAAAGTGCAGGATGTTACCCTGTGCAGACAAGATACGACCCTGGCCAGCATCTTTCTTCTGATCTTCCTGGATCTTTTAGAATCTGGGAGTGATCGATGGAATGTCCATCTTGAAGGCGCAAAGAGTTTAATCTCGCTTAACCAACCACTCAGAAACGACAATCCTGGCCAGACGGTACAGGAGTTACGCAACTTCGTTGCCAAGCAGATATATTCGTATGTGTTGCGAACTGACTGTACGATGTATGTACATTACTGACAGCTGCAGGATCGAAACGCTTGGAGCAACGTTTGTACGTCCCAGGTTACTCTCCCAGTTTGCTCCACCAGCGATGCTCCCCCAAGACACCGTGGAACAATCCTTCCTCGGTTGTCCGGAATATCTCCTTCATGCCATCCAATGTATTTCCCACGAGCGAGACGCCTTACTCGATAAAAACACGCTGGACAACGCACCCATCGCCCTCCATATCCAAAATCTCACGACAGTACTCGACTCCATTCAACAATTCGACTGCTACCTCTGGGCCTCCACACTCCCCCACCAATCTTCCCACAACATCAACGAACTCTGCAACCTACCCCAAGTCTACAAACTCGGAGCCCTCCTCTACGGCCAACGCGTCCTAGACGCCCTAACAAACCAAACCACACCCCAAGATGACCTAATATACGAACTACTCGGCGTAATCGGCTCCCTACGCAGCGACTATTCCCTATTCAAATGTATCTTATGGCCAATCTGCATCGCGGCGCTGGAGAGTCCGTGGCCAGCACAGCGGGAATTTCTCAAGGCTTGCCTGGATAAGTTCTGGCAGGATACGATGTGTTTGAATGCGGTGAATGCGGCAAAGATAGTACAGCAATATTGGCAGTGGGCGGATGAACAGGGTCAGGAATCGAGGTGGATTTTCCATATTGGGTTTTTGGGGGGAGATTGGCTTCTCATATAGCCAATGTACAGAGTAATACTTGATATATGTGCGTGTCAATAAATTACCCCATACTTCTGATTGGTATAATTCGTCGTTTTCATTTTCTGAAAAATAAACAAACCAAAATAAGAACATGTGGAGAATCTCACATCGGACCAGAACCGAACAATATAAAATCAAAAAATCAATGCGCAGGAACGGACAGCACCAGCATGACAGGCAGTACGTAGTACGTAGTAGAAGATTGGCAATGGTTTCTAGCCTTATGAATAGAGACCAGTCGCGGCTAATTATATGATGGCTGTTATGGATGATGTCACTGGCCTTTTTTTTTTTTTTTTTTTTTTTTTTTTTTTTTTTTTTTTTTTTTTTTTTTTTTTAAAAAAAAAAAAAAAAAAAAAAAAAAAAAAAAAATTAGCGCAAGGAACCAAAACATAAGATCGATCTGTCAGTGTCAACAGTCGATGTCTTATCTTATATCTTATAGATCACAGCAAATAAACCTACATACTCTACACCATTTGTACATAGAACCTATCTCAATCTCCCAATCCTATAGTTATTCCACAATAGACAGCTTTTGCCTCAGGCCGGGAACCAACAAAAGCACATCACGTGATGCGGAGAGCCAAAAATACCCCAACGCTAAAAAAAAATCGAAAAAAGAAAAAAGAAAATCCAGCGACCGACACCGCGACTGCTGAGAAAACACCCCCAACAGTCATCCGCTGGGCATCATTTCATTGCCTGCTTTTGATCTTGCCATCGACGCAGAGATAAACCAGATTATTCCGAGCATTTTTTTCTTTGCCAAACAGTTTCTGTCTCTCCCTTAACGTGCATTGCTAACGCGTTTTATTTTATTTTCTTATTATTCCCTTGCGCAACCGGTCCGAACCGTCCTCCGTATCATTTACTGCCTGAGGCCAGCAACGGAGTACATACAGAGCACAGATCGCGTGGGACAGCGTCTCGCTCTCAACAACAACAACAAACACGTCGACAACTGCCAACGCGTCGCCGCTATTTGACAGTTTGTGTCAATTCTTTGATTCGCTTTCCCTCTCCACGTATATTACGTGTGCTCCGTGCGATTGGACAAGTGTCACGGGTTTCCTCCGAGTGTCGCCCCAAGACCATCTACTTGTCGTGCCAGGGACGGTTATCACATGCTTGATGCCTGAGGCCGACGGTGTGCTTGTATGATCCTGAGTCAAAAAGGAACCGGGGACACAGAATTTTAAAACAGTTTGCCTGCAAAAATGATGGGTTACGGAGGCCATCCCTTCCAGGCGCCGCCGCCGCAACAGCAGCATCCCCGCCATACGTCGCATCAGCAACACCCCCCAAACCATTCGCTACAGTCTCCCTCCATGAGCGCCGCTGGCCATCCGGCTCATACTCACCCGAGGCATGCCAATGGTTCGATCCCTGGAACTGCCAACCCGTTATTTCGGGGTCAGCCGCAGCCGACGACTACGGATCTAACCCACTCTTCTGACCTTCGCAAAATGACGGCGCCAGTAACCTCCGCGCCGCTGGTTGGGCTGTCAGCAGGTGGTAATTTCAGTCCGTTCCCGGGGAATTTCCCCCAGGGTTCGTCTGAGTTGTTGTCCCGGAACACGGACTCGGTGGGTGGGGTTAAAGATCCGTATCTGTCCATGCAGACGCTGCAGAGGAATATCAATCCCATGGCGAGTTTTCGACCTCATCATCCTACTGCTATGAACCCGCAGGCAGCTTTGTCACCCCATGCGCATGCCATGAATCTTTCGTCGTCATCGCAGTCGCCACAACAGTCATCGCTAGAACGATTACAGCAACATCACCGTCAGGGTTCGCATCCAGCAACGTCGGCATCACCTATGTTAGCGCCTAGTCCACGACCCCAGCAGCCGCCACTACCGCCGCCGCAGTCGCAATCGCAATCGCAAGCACAGTCGCAACGCCCTGCTCATCATAGTCCGTACCAGACGCAACGACCGCAAGCGCAATATACCTCTCAGGCGCAGCATTATCCCTCAGCGCAGCAGGCACAATACCCACAACAACCGCAATACCCTCAACAGTTGCAATATTCATCGCAGCCCCAACCGCAGCAGCAACCTCAAACTCAGCAGACATCATATCAACCGACGCAACGACCTCATTTCTCACCCCAACAAGCATACCAGTCGCAGCCGCAAGCGCGTCATTACCAACAGCCACAACAGCCCTTGCCACAATCTCAGCAGCCTCAACAACCTCAACAACCTCAACAATCCCAATATCAGCCTCCACAGAACCCATACGCGCCAAACCCATACCAGCAATTCTCCTTTCAACCCCATCAATATCACCATCCGCAATCGCAGCAGCATGCCTTGTTGCAACAACATCATCACCACCACCAACAGCAGCAGCAGCCGCCGCCGCCGCCGCCGCCGCCGCCACAGCAACAACCTCAGCAACCCCAACCACGGCCAGCTGCGACAACGGCGGCTCCAGCGACAGCGCCAATGTCAATGCCTTCGACTATCGGCGTTGCAGAGATTTTAACGACGGCAACAAAACAAGAGCAAGATGAAGAGGAGAAACTCGCACCCCCAAATAAACGCAGTAAGCCCGCACCAAAGCAATCGCAACCATCCGCACCAGCACCAGCACCAGTCCTGCAACAGTTGAATGGACCAACCAAGTCTGAATCGGCCAGTGGTGCTGCTGGTACAGAAAACACACCCCGCCGTCGAGGAAGACCACGCAAGACGGACAAAGCTGATGGAACTGCACCAGCAAAACCCAAACCGAAGGCCAAGTCGAAATCAGCATCGTCGACACCAAACACGGTTCCGGCCAGTGTTCCTTATCAACACCCGCACCCTGCTCCGTCTCCTCATGCCCAGGCTGCTCCTCCGCCATCGGCACATCCACAGTTTGCGCCGCCGATGCCGCAGATTCAGCAGCATCAGCATCAATTTCATTATACTATGCATGCGCATCCTCAGCCGCCGCAACAGCAACCGCAACCTCCCTCCATTCCCCAAGCTCAACCACAGCACCTTCAACAACAACCCGCTCAATCCCCGCAAGCACGCCCGGTCCAAATACAAGTCCCAGTCCCTTCCCCCGCAGCTCAACCCCAAGCTCAACCACAGCAACAGCAAACCCATCAATCCCCAGAAGGCCAAACCGAAGGACCACCTCAAAAACGCCGTCGCGGCCGACCCCGCAAAGTCGACACCATCGCAGCGGGGGGCGCTGCTGCTGCACCGCGTCCAAAGCCCAAGAAACCAGCCGGCCCACCCAAGCCATCGAAGACGGGAAGGCCACGTGGTCGACCGCGCAAGGTCGACGTTGCTGCCCAGCAGCAACAGCAGGCTCAACAGGCCCAACAGCAACAACAATCGGGGACAGGTATGGAGCAGGGTAACCAGGCACCTGCACCTGCGCCAACGCAGGCGCCACCACCGCCGAATCCGATGGCGATGCATATGAATACGTTGAATATGGGGATTGGGATGAATCCTGTTCACAAGCGGGATATTCTGCATTCGATTTGAGGGGATAAGGTGACCCTTTCAATCTAGTTGACGTCCTTCAATCCGAAGGCTCTGTTCATGTTCACTGCTATTATAGTATCTTCCTATTTATTTTCTATGTCTATGTCCATGGGTTATCGGCTCTATTTGCTTCTTTGGCTTGTATTGACTAATTACGCATTGTTTATCCATCTCGTTTATGGTTCGGTTCGGTCTCATTTATCTGGTTTTATCGCTTGTTGATGTTATGAATTGAGCATTGCCATCTCCTTTCTTTTTACATTTATTCCCTATTCCCCTTCCTTTTGTCATGAAATTGTCATTTATTGCTTTGGTTTGATGCATATCTAGCAGCAGCAGCAGTTATTCATAAAGTCTATATGCATAATCGAATCAGGGTATACCACCATCGCAAACAAGCCCAAGTATAACGAAACCACAATCCAAACCCTAACCAAATAAACCTAGAAACACCATCACAACAGATAAACCCCCGTAATCCTCCCCCCAACCCCATCCCACTCCCGATCAATCTCCCCTCTCGCCACCGCCCCCTCCATCTCCTCCACCATCCCTCTCCCCTCAACCTCCATCTCCCTTTCCCTGTCCCCCGCCTCCTCACTTTCCGTAGTCAGCCCTTCAACACCACTCCCAACTCCACTAGCAGGAACAGGCATGCCCTCCGCTGGCGACTTGGTGACAGGTAACGTCTCGACTTCGGGGAGGTCGCTCACGTCGATACCTAGATTTGGCGCTATGCGCCGCATAAAACTATCCGATAATATAAATGCGCGGCGAGCAGCGGGGTCCCCATGGACGGACATGTGGTGTAACCACCGCAATGCTTTTTTGGTAGAATTAACGACTGTCGCAACTTGTAATGTTGGAAGTGGATTCATCTGGAGCCCCGTGCCACCCTCTTCTTCACTCGGATCCGTAGACATTTCTATCGGTATCGCGGTCCCGAAGACGGATGCTTGGACTGACGTACTGAGTTTTTCCTCTGCAGGGGGACTCGTGGGCCAACTGCCCAGTCCTAGTAACAGTGCTGTGGTAGCTTGCATTATGTAGTGCAGGTGGTGCCACCATGGGGACAGGCGGGTTAGGGAGAGGATATCTGGTTCATTGGGGAGGAGGGAGAGGAGGGCGCAGGAGGCACGGAGACAGGAGAGGGACATTTCTGTGCGGAAGCGGGCGCGGCGGGCCTTTGAGGTATTGGGGGTTTTGTGCAGGTTCGGGATTGGGTTGGAGCCAGCGATGTCGGGTTGGGTAGTGTAGGTGCTTGTTCCGATAGTTGAGGGGGTTGGGTCGTCGGTGTCGTCGTTATCGTCGTCGGTGCCGCTAAGGTTGTCAGTGTCGATATCGGCGTCGTCGCTGTTGGCTGTATGGCTGGGACCGATGTCTGTGGATGGGGCGATGTTTCTGGCGTTTGCGTGCGTGAGGCATGGTCGGCATAGGGTTATCTTGCAACTATAGAAGTGCATTGCGAGACTGAACCTCTCTCGCGAACTCCTCTCTTTCTCCCTCTCCTTGTCCCCACTCCCTGCGAAACCGTTCGTCGCCAACGAATTGATATCCTCATTCAATGCCTCCCGTCCACCAGTCGTCGTGAACCGATATATTGACGGGACTTTGGAGAGCCAGTTATCCAGTTTGATCCCGTATTTCCGAATGCGCTGCTCGATTTGCCCGGATCGTTCACGGATGCCTTCTATACTGTAGACTTTGTTGAGGATAGCCTGCGTGATGAAGACCAGATCTACAGAACAGAAGAAGAACGACGATGGACTGGGGCCACATTTCTCAAGCCATTCACCATGTGCGCGCGATTCCTCATCTGATTGAAAGAGCGTTGGCTTGAGATATTTCTGGCGCAGCGAGATATCTTGAAATAGTTTTAGCACGTCCGGCCGGTCAAAATATTCTTCATCGTAGGGTACTGGTAAAGGCACTGAGCTGAGACTTTCACCTGCGCAGGAGACTCGTCCCGTCAATCCAGCAATGGAGTTTTCGAGGATATAGATAGACCACCAGAGACGACTGCGAGCTTCTTTAGCGGCGTAGTCGGTCCAGTCGTCTACGAAGCGGAGGTTGATTCCAAGGGATAGGGCGGAGCGGAAGGCCATGTTTGTGAACTTGGAGGCGCGGTTTACCTGGCCTCGGGCCAGCATGTAAAACGCAACTAGAAACTCCACCTGCACTTGCTGCAGATCTGAATGTTCGAAGAGTGCATTCTCTGTTAAACTCAACTTTCGTGCTCTTGCTAGAAATGTCAGGCTATCCCTATCATCACCGACATCATCTCCCGTCAGTCGACAATAGTGACACCCGATGGCGAATACCATGTTCAGCACAGCCAGCCATTTCCGCGGCGGTCGAATGTTGCTCGGTTCACTGATGAAGCGTACGTACTGCGAGGTAAACGTCTTTCTGCGGACAACGTTGAATGACGGATGGAAGACGAGCATGTATGCCGAAAAGTATTTATCAGCGAGGTGTTTTGATGGCACGGCGGAGGGATCAACTTCGTGGAACATGGGGACGTCAAGGTCGTCTAGGTAGTAACTCATCAGTGAGATTGGTACGTCCGGCCGTCCCCCTGAACATTGAGACGCCGGATCATTATCCTGGATTCCACGGTGACTGCGATGTTTCGCCTCGTTCTCGAGTTTTTGCATCCATGCTACCTCGGAGTTCTTCCCAAAGTACCCCGTCGCCCTAGTCTTTTCATTGCGATTCAAATCCTCCTCAACAAGATCAATCGCATCAAGCGACCCCAACGACGAAGTCTCACTCGCCGTGTCCGACCCCTCCTCATATTCATCATCAAGCTATATCATCCAATTACCAGTCAGCCTCCTAACGCCTCTAACCATAACAAACTCCAACAAATGCCATCCATCCAACATGCAGGGGCAGGGGCAGACACACCCTCAAAGCTCTCCGAATCTTCTTCGCAGCCATAATATCCACATCCGGCTCCAACTCCCTCAACAACTCCTCATACTTCTCAACCTTCACCCCCAATGTCCCTAACTGCTTCTGCTCCCTTACCCGCTTTACGTCCAGAAACATGCATGTGATCTTCTGCTCCACGCACTGCCGACACATGGGCTTGTTGCCGTCGCATTTGATTTTCCGGTTGCGGCAGGGTTCGCATGCACGCGCGGAGCGCTGTCGGCGGTATGTCCCGCTGTTACCGCCTGTTTTCCGGGGGATTGCGACTTTTGCTGGTTTTAGATTGGGATGGGGGCCTAGCGGCGCGACTCCGAATGGTGGATGTTGGGGACGAGATGAAGTTGTGTGTGCCGGTGGAGGAGGGGGGATGTCGTTTGAAGGAGAGGGCACACCGTTCATATACGGGTGAAATCTTGGTGTTTCGAAACGGCTGTAGTTATTTCCCGGCATTAGGAAGGGGTCTGTAGATGGATCTGTTGTCATTGTGTGCTCGGATTCTATATATTGCTGCTGGTCGCAGGGCCAGGACGTTGCTGCTGAAGACGGGGGCATGGCCTCTTCGGAGAGGTCGATGTCCATTACATTGGTTCGTTGGGGGTTCTCCGGATCGTAGGGTCCGAGGTTGTTGTGGATGTGGCTGTGATCCATTATGACTAACTAGCCCATGGGGGTAATTTCTGGCTTGAGCTGGATTGTTTTATTTAGTTTGCTTTACAATTATTGCAAAGTATGTTGCTTGAAGGATGTCAAAAAAGAGAACGCTAAGTTCCGTCGGAGTATGTATTGATGATCTCACATCATGACGTCACTAGGTACCCATTATCACTGTATAAAATGTATGAAGTAGTGATATACAATTGCATTACTTACAGGCACTATTACCACTCCTCCTGCTTATTCCTCTCAGCCACAATCTCATCCTTCCCCAGACTCAAGCTCTCGTACCGATCCAGCATATCAAATAGCCCTAACCCCGGATACTCCTGTAAATCTTCGCCGTCATGACTCCCATTCCCAAGTCCGTTGTATCGATCATCCTGGTTCAATTTCTCAAGGCCGTTGGCGTAGTCATCTAGCCAGTTCTGTCCCTTCGCAATGGCGTCTTCGTCGAATAATTCCTTTAATTCTTCGGAGACGCCGCTTGACTCGCGGATTCGTTTCCCTTGCGACTTGGAGCGTACAGATTGCCGGAAGATATGAAATAAGTTGCGGCCCAGATGCGAGCGACTTGCAATTACAAAGAACGAGCTGGAGAGGGAGAGGAAGTCTGGGTCTAAGATGTCGAAGGATTCGGACTCGAGCATGGCGAAGAGCGCCAGGTTGATGGCGTACATGGCGAAATAGTGCGCGCGTGTCATACCGTATTCGCGTCGATGCAGGCGTGTGAGGCTTGCGATGCCGCGGGCAGCAGATTGTGTGAGTTCCCAAGCATTGTATTTGCCGGTTGGGCTATGGCGGGGCTCGCTTTCTGGCGTTTTAGGGGCGTCGGATGTGGTGCTAGAGACGTCATCGTCTGTATTGCAGGCGAATACGTTAATAACCAGGGTGTAATATCTCATTCTACCATAATCAGTCATGTTTTTCAAATGTGTAAGCTAGAGGGACATACCTTAGAAGAATAATATAAGGCGGCGGTTTCGTCTCTGGCCCAAAAATACGCGGCAAAGCACCATGCCATCTTCGTAGTCGCTCATACAAATTTTCCTTCGCCTGACGACGCTGCGAAGCCGAAGTCACGCTCCTATCCTCTGAAAACAGTTCCTTCGAAATATCCAGTGCAATCTCGCTGAGGTTACATGTTTCATCAAAGTACTGGCTCAGATATGCTGACCTGGCGTTGCGATGCGAAGGATATGGAATCCAGAGGTCGCTATTAGTAGATCCGTTGCGGTCAATTCGTTTCATGTTGACTTTGGCGACGAGACTTGGTCTTAGGAAGCTGGTATGGATTACACTGCAATTGTTAGGCATGCATAATACGACAGAGTAGACGACTTACGTATCAACATGGAATAACCCCCAAGCAGTCCGTCTGAGAGAAGTATCCATATCAAAGGAAAGCTGCTCGGGAATCATCTTCACCCCTTTATCACCAATCAACCCGAGTGTTTCACCGGCTCGAATTGCCTGGTGCAGCATCAGGTATCCCATGTCATCGTCTTCCGTTAACGCATATCTGTCCGCCATTAGAGAAACACTTCATAGTACACAAACACAATACACACCTCTCATACAAACAAAGCGTGCCCTGTAACGAACAGAGCCCAATCTTCGCCGTTTCTTGTTGCCTCAACCGCTCTGCTTCAGCAAGAAAATCCGCTCCTTTAGTCAAAATGTCCCCAGGGATGACATATGCTTCTGTGAATTCCGAGAAATACTGCCAAAGTTAGCAACCACACCCACATCCACAACCACGCAGGAGGAAAACATACGCAAGCATTCGCCAAAATAGCATTCACCAAAAATGGGCTACAAAACTCCGTCTCCAAATTCCCCATCGCCATATGCCTCAAAAACACATCCCGATCCAAAAACGAATAAAACGGATAATCCCAGGTGAAATACAACGATATCAAATGCGACACCAGATCGTCATCCTCGGTCACAGTCGTCCACGGCTTCGCAGGAACCTTGCACGGCGCTTCATCACACAGAAAATGTATGTCCATGACCTTCCGCCGGAACGAGGGACCCGTGCCTTCGACATTGAGCATTTGCCGTACGTCCTCTAATTTGTTTACCACTTCTTTGTTGTTTTCTTTGGATTGCGAGGTTGTGCTGTCGAGGCCGACTAGGGTTTCGTCAACGTAGGATCTGATTTCTTCGGCCGAGGCATCTTTGCGGATGATCTCGAGAAGTTTAAGGGCGTGCGATTCATCCGCGGCGCGAATCAGCTTGAACAAGTCATTCAGAAGGTCACGGTGGTACGTCAATTCATCCGCTGTGCGCTTCGCGGCGACCCGCCGTCGTTGATCGAGCGATTCATCAAACACGCAGACCCGATTAAATGCTCGACAGTTATCACACGGAGCTGTTCCAGAGCACTACCCAACTCATCAGCACTATCCACACCTCATCTGCATCACTCACCCAGAAAGAGGTACACATACCTTCCTCTTCGACTTCTTACAAGCCAAACAAGCCGTCGACACCCTCTTCTTCCACTGACTACTCCCCCCATTCCCACCACCAGCAATTTCCCCACCAGCACTCGTCGGCCCTTGCCCACTCCCACCTCCTCCACTAGAACTAGGCCCCCCGGCAGTACTCCCAGCACTATAAGCAACACTCGATCTGGACTCCCCCGACGGACTTGGCAGACTAGACGCTTCTTCAGATGTTGGTGACGGGCCTGGGGCTATTTGACGGTAATATTGCGATTCGTTCATGTTGTTGTTATCTTACATGTCAGAGGCGCACGTTTGTAAGGTAGAATGGAGGTTATCGATCAATCAATCGTGTTGTTGTTGGCGCGCGACGCAGAAATAGAGTTGGAAGGATAACCTACACATTGCGGAAAAGGGAAACATGGGGAATCGAAGGAATGGCGAAAGAGGAACAGGACGATACAAACCATGCTAGGCAGATGGTATGACGTAGAACCGGAGTTGAAGTCCGGCCATACAACGTTCCTGGCACCTATTCTATTCCAAGGCAAAGTCAAAATATAGTACAAGGACAGTAAACGTGGAGTTCTAACAGTCTTGATCTGCCTCGATCTCTTTTACCGTACAGAAAGGTTGACGCTTACTTTGAATCTAGACAGGATAAAGACATCGCCGGAAATGGTTTCCACCAACAATATGCACTGCTGGCACGTGATATAAAACCCACCTACTATGTTGTCTACGTCAAACTACAGACCAAGACTCATTGAAATCGTGTACCAAGGCTGGATTAAAGTGGCTAACGACACGCCAGATACATAACACTACCTACAGGAGCCCATGGCCGCCATGGCGCCTCCTTGACATCCACAGAGAGATATCCCCATGATAAAACTAATAGACCGACTCAAATTCAGGGCATACCCATCGCCTCAATGCAGAAAAAACCTTCCCTGTCGGGATTGGAGCCTGTGCAAGGAAAAAGACATTAAACGGGGTTAAAAAAACAATAACAAATGATGGGGAAGAACAAATAAAAAGAAATGATAGACGACTCCTTAGTGCTCCAGGATCCTCAAGCTTCCCTGAACAACACAGTTCTCGAGAACCGAGCCAGGAGGAATGTCTATTGTGCTGCTTTCCGAAGCCACAATGATGACAGTACCCTTCAAGGTGACGTTACGACCCAGGTTGACGGCACCGGTGATAGTCAGGTGGTCCAGCTCAACAATGCGAGGAATGCTGGGGATACGCTTCTGGAAATCCGAGACCTTCTTGAAGTCGGATCCAAGCTTGATCACGGGCACACCACCAAAGCGGTTGGGGTCCATGAGAAGCTGACCATGCTCGAGGCGGTAGAGGTCCGACTTGACGAGCAAGAGGTCGGAGCAGGTCTTGACGGGCAAGAAGCGACGACGGGGCACGTTAACACCGTGGGCGTTCTTGAAGTGGCGGATGGCAGCACCGACGGCGGTCTCGAGCTGGTAGATGGCCTGGTCGGCCTCACCCTTCTTGTCGGCGGGGATGGACTTCTCGTTGGCAATGATCTCCATCTCGAGCTCGTTCTCCTCGACGACGCGCTTGATGGCACGGAGGTTCATCCAAATGTTGTTGGTGTTGAAGTACTTGAACTTCTTGATGGACTTGAACTCGTTGACATGCTCCTTGGGGACCTGGGCGATTTCCAGGAGACGTGCCTTGCCCTCGTAGTCAATGATGGTACCACCCTTGACGTCGGCCTTGGTCTTGTCGGTCAACTCCATGATGTATTCCGAACCGGTGTCGGCCATGTGCTGTAGGATACGGAGGTCAACGACGGCACCAAGGTTGTCCGCGTTGGACAGGAAGATGTACTCGACGCCACGCTCAAGGAGCTTGTCGAGCGTGCCCGAGTTGTAGAGCGACTCAAAGACATCACCGTGGCCAGGGGGGTACCAGTCCTGCAGGGGAGCATCGAAGCTCTTGGGAGCGGGCAGGAGCGAGTCCTTGACGATACGGGGGTAGCGGGACTGGTTGAAGGTGATGATGTCGACGTTGTGACCCTGGTACTTTTTGATGATGGACTGGGTGTCTTGGTCGGTGTTGAAAGAGTTCATGAGAACGAAAGGAACGTTGACATCGTAGGTGCGGTTCAGGTACTCGATCTGACGCACGGACAGGTCAAGGAAGGACATGCCCTCACGGACCTCAATGACCGACTTGGGGCCAACGCAACCCATCGAGGTACCCAGACCACCGTTCAGCTTGACAACAGCCAGCTTGTTGAGGAACTCAACTGAGGCCTCGTTGCCCAACTCGTTGTAGTCGACGACCTGAGAGGGTTGAGGCGGGGCGATGCGGTCCCAGTTGACGGCGTTGCCCTTGGCCTTGTCGTTAAGGAAACGACGGAAGAGAGCAAAGAAGTTGTCCGTCTCAGCCTCAAAACGCTTCTTCTCCTGGGGATCGGGGACGGTCTCGGAGAGGGCGTTCAGGGCGTTACGCATCTGGGAAGCGGCCACGCTGGTGGAGGCATTCTCGAAGGCCTGGAGAGGGAAGGATTTGGTCAGAGAACGTTGATGAGAAGAAATGAAGGGCATGTTGCAACAGAAGTCTCGATGGGAGTAAATAGACGGTGGTAACAGTGGGTAGAAGTGGTACAGCAATAACGAATGCAAGCGGTAAACGGTGCGGTGCAGCAGATGGCACAGAAAACGATGGCGATGGCAATAGCGTGAAGAGCAAACAAGAAGCAGAAGAAAACGAAGAACAGAAGCCTATATATACAGCCCATCCATATAGAGGAAAGAGCCATCCCTCCTTCTGTTTTGGATACTGCGACCGCACCGCAGGAAGGAACCACCACCGCAACAACAACGGCAACGACGACTCAAGCCAACTTACCATGTGCGACTGGGATTTTCCGTGGTGCTTTCCAAAGCCACCCTGGGAAGCCTCACTGGCAGGAGCTCTGAGGCGGGAGGGAATTGCGTTTGCGGCCATTGTGGAAGGTGCTATTTGTAGAGAGGAAGAGAGGTGGTCAATCGGGCGTGTCAGGACTGTCGGAGAGTTAATTAGCAACAGCTCAACGACGGAGAGAATTATCTCAATGATGAGAATAAGAGTAGAGTGGATGAAGAGGAAGGGAGGGAAAAAGAGAGAGAGAAAGGGAGGATAGAGAGAAGAAAAGGGAGAGCGAGAGAGAGGTAGGGGAGATTCCAGTTGCCACGCCAGAAAGGGACCGCCGTCGATCGTCGGGTGTGGCTGGCGACGACAAGCTTCCGTCATGGGCACGTACCTTGTACAGTGGTTATAAAGTGTCCAGAGTACAATTATCAGAGCACTTGTAGAGAAATATTAGGAAAGAGAAGAGAAGAAATTGAGCAGATATTAAGAGGAAAAGAAATTGAGGGAAAAAAAAGAGAATACGTAAACAATAAAAGGAGGACGATGATGATAATTATAGGGCCAAGTGGGGTACTGTCCAGGTGGACTGGTGTACTTGTACGGTGTATAGTGTACAAGTATAGTAGCAGAATGCAATAGTCTCACCATAGTCTTTTCTACACTGTCTCTATTTAATGCTCTAGAATCCTCTATCCTCATCAATTCCTCTTAGGTTCGCCGAGGCTATAAATACCATTCCAGTTGTTGTCACCGATAACAGTGGGTTCGATATCCGAAGACCCTTCCTTCGAATCCGCCCCATTCCAATCGCATTCCGGAATCCAAGACAAGAACTACAATAATAGCAGTGAGTACAGTAGTATATAGCTCTCTCCGTATTGCAATGGATCAATCAATACGGTGTCCCACTGCTACATCCTGGACTAGTACTTGTCCTCCGGTGTACCTGTACCATGTGGTAGCCCTACGCCACAACAATAAATTGTATTTTTGGACCCTGTCAATTTATTGTCTTTTAGTCCGTAGTCTGGAACGTCACGCTGATGTCCCATGGCTGCCCCCCTTTCCCTACGTTTCCGACCCCTCTATTTACCGCTTCCGGGTACACGTGATGTCACGTGATATACTCCGCATGCAGGATAAAAACAATTCCATTATCATGGCCAATCCGGTAAAAGCAAAAAAAAAAAAAAAAAAAGGAAAGAAAAAGAAAGAAAAGCAAACACGCAAAGGATATCATACCCACACAATAACTTATGTACCGTTCTAAAGCAATGTAAAACAAATCAAGAAATGAAACATGATCATGCCCCACTAGCACTCCTCTTACTCAAGAAGCTCCGACGTCCTAGCTTCTTCGAGTCTGGGCTATCCATCACCTCCGACACATTGTCGCCGGTGTTCGAGTGAGATGTAGTCGGACGGAGCGATGCCGAATCCGGTAAGCTGAAGCTGCTGCGGATCGAAACGCTGCCATTGCCAACGGTGACGGCCTTCTCTTGTCCAGCGACCGATCCCTGATTGTTCACAAAGAAGATGGCATCGCCCAGGACGTCGTCAGAACCAAAAGTCGCGTGATCGACCACCCGGATGTGGTATTGAGCGTCCTCCGTAGTGTTGTGCACCCGGCAGGTTTCGTGAGATGGGTCAAACTGCACCGCACCGCCGCTGGCCTTGATAGCCTTGGACTTGTGTACATCCTTGGTGCCCTTGGTGCCGCTGGCCTTGATTAACACACGCACGTTGGCTCCAGGTGGGAAACCGCTAGCCGAGACGATGGAGATGGTTGCAGTGCCGGTATCTCCTTTGCCACCACCACCGCCGATGCCGAGACGGTCGCCAAAGTGCGAGGCCACGCTGCGTGTCCGCTCGTGCCGCTGGCTGTTGGCAGACGAGCCTGGTGGCGTAGCACCTTCAACGAGGACTGCAGACGGTCCCAAGCTGCCAACGGCATCTTCACTCTCAGCTGGCTCCTCAGCGGCATCACCACTGGTGACAGACGAAGCGTCATCGCCTCCCTTGGAGAATCGTGACTTGATGCCGTTCTTGAGGAAGGAAGCTCCCTTGATAACGTTGCCTCCAACAAAACCAACGCCCTTGACGGGCGCCCCAACAATCTTGCCGGGAGTGGCAAACGTACCCGAGAAAGTAGACGATCCCTGTCGCGAACGCATCACGTAGGTAGGCTTAAAGAGCAACTTCAAGCGAATAGCACCCGACTTACCGTCCAGGGTAAGGGACACCTCCTGGCTGTGGAACGGTTCCAGCGTTTCAAGATTGATTGGGGTACCACCCAGATAATCGGCGCTGTCTCCAAAGTCCCAGTCGTACACATCGACACGGAAGTCGGAGCCGATACGAGACTTGACCGGAGTTTCGAAAAATTCGTTCCAAGCTGGGTGAAGAGTCTTCTTCTGCACCTTGGTTTTGAAAATTTCCTTGTCCTCCAGGCGGAACTTGCAGTACGGGTCACTAAAACCGTTACGGTCGGCCGATGGGAGCTCCGCTGCGTCCAACACGTCCACACGTAGAGTACCCATGTTGTTGATACTCTCAGAAGGATCGAGTTTCATCTTGACCGGAATGTACCTGGCACTGACCGTGACCTTGCTCACTTCCCCTTGCTCCGAACGCAGGGCCAATTCTGTTGGGTTGTACTATATAACGTTAGAATAAGAACAACTCTCAAGAAAAAGAGGGGAGACACGTACAAGAATTCGTTGCAAAGTAGTAAATGTGTCTCCGGCCAACTTGGCAACACAGTGTTCATCACTATCATCCTTGGGGTCATTCTTGTCTACCAGGCGCAGCGTGATCTTGGAGAACTCAAGCTCACGCACGAAAGAGTCGCCAACATCTCCAAGCTTGACGGATTTCGAGCGAAGCTTAGGTGACACGTAGGCGGGGAACATGTAGTCGTCCATCACAGCTTCCAACTGCACGTTGGCATGGGCAAGCTGCACCTCGTGGAACTTGTACACGAGGAATCCAGACTCTGGTATTTCGGTCAGTTTTAGTTTTTTTTTTTTTTTTTTTTTTTTTTTTTTTTTTTTTTTTTTTTTTTTTTTTTTTTTTTTTTTTCATGGACAAAGAAAAAAAAAGGAAGAAAAAAAAGATACATACCGTAGTTGTGAATATCTTCCACACCAACGTAGGTCTTGGGAACCTGAGTCGACTTAATCGACATAGCCTCCGAGTCCTTGGCAGTCGTAGGACGGGATCCGACGGTTTCGAGGCTGGCACGGCCATTGGCTTCGCCATTGGACGTGGTGCCGTTCGTGACCTTCGAGTCCGTGCTGAGCGACTTGGAATGAGAGACTTTGGGTCTAGAGTCGGTGCTCCTCCTCGACAGAGTCGGAGTCGGAGGTTCGCCGTTGGTTTCCTCTTGCTCCGCTTCTTCCTCCTCCGCCTCTTCCTCAGGGTTGACAACAGGGATGGTAGGGTAGAAGGCAACTGTGTAGTGAATAGTACCCTTAGGCTGCCCAGTGCCAATCCGGAGATCGCTAGATACGGGTTGCATCTCGTCATCAATGTCATACTCGCCAGTCTCCGTCTCGTGGACGTAGTCGGATGCTGACAGTTCGACAGAGCCCAAGGATCGGTCACTGCCCATGGATTCCTCGTCCATGACCTCCACTGCGAGTTTCTCACGAGGGTTATGGATTGGAACATAAACCACTTCGTCCCATTCAGGGTTCAGGTTGTTGCGGAAAGTCACCGTGCGAGCCTTCATGATACCAGAAAGCATCACTCGAGCGTAAGGATCAGACTTGCCCATCGTCTCCAGGTTGCGAAGGCTAGTCGCGCTCTTGAAGTGGAAACGCATGACACCAATCGGGTCGACATAGCCGGCACTGCCCGACATACCTCCCACAGCCACGGGCTTCCACTGCAGTGTCAGTTTGGCGCGACCAGTCTTGGCCCCGTGCAAATGGAACCAATCCTGGCCCTTCTCATTCATTTTGATCAAGTCGTTCAGTTTAATCTGGTACTTGCCAACAATCGGGTCTGCCACGATATCGCGGTCATCCTTGATCACCAAACCCAGACGAGCCGACTTCCGATCCGTGACCAGGAATTCCTTGGACGCATTTTGGAAAATGGGGTTGTTGGTACGCTTGAGCTTCTTCGTGATATGGATTTCCTTGCCATTGAGGAGAAGTACACCGTAGGGGTTGAGCTGGCCCACGATACTCTTGTGAGCATCCAAATCCTTGGCCTGCTCAACAGTGAACCGAGCAATACCAGTGTTGAGCTCCGGAGGCGGCTCCATCTCGCCATTTTCCAGTTGCCGGCCTTCGAGAACGGGGAAGAACCGCACGTCGGCATGAATTACACCGCGAGTTCGGCCACTAGCCATGACATCGAGGTAAATACTCTCGTGTTCAGGTTGCTCCTCCAGCCGGTCCAAAGCGAAAGTGGCCGTTCCCAGTTCTTTGTCCCTGCGGAATTCGTTCCAGTCGTAGGGATGGATGGTCAATGCATCAGCAAACGAGGTGATAGTCACGTACACAGTATCGCCCCATCGGGGGCTATCGGTGTCGTGGATGGTCTTGGTCCGGCCCAGTTCGGCGCGGCTGTTGAGCGCGACTGTTGCATACGGATCGGGGGTGCCCGAGAACTTGTCGGGGTTTTTCAGGTGATGAGCTCCGTGCAGTGTGATGGCCACGACACCGATGGCTTGGTCGACGGGGTTACCGGCCAGCATCTTGGCGATTTCGACGGGGAAGACGTTAGGAGCATACATCATGGGACCGAGGTTGTTGTGGATCTGATCCTTGATGAAGCTTTCAAGACCAGGGATGAAGTTGATATCAAAGCCCAGAGTGTCACCACCGAGCGGCTTGCAGACATAGTCAATCTCAGGACGGTCCAAGAAGCAAACGTCGACACGCTCAATATGCGGGAAGGGGATCTGCAGCTTGACCTTGACTCGCATCAAACCGCTGCAGGCCATGTCTTCCACGATCACGTCGAGACCCTTGCTGACAACACCTTTACCCACACGAACTTCGAGAACAACCTTGGGGTTGATCTTGTTCTTGAGTTGGCGCGCCGTCAAGTCCATGGTATCGTTGGGCGTGAAACTGAATTTC